TAGGTGCATGTGTGTGTGTGAGTCTATGTATGTGTGTAAGTGCAACTAAAAAATCTATTGTGTGTGCGTGCAAATCTACGTGTCAGTCTGTATGTGTGTAAGTCCATGTGTGTGAGTCGCTGTGTCTTTGTAAGTCGATGTGTGTGTGTGTCCTTCGATGTCTGTGTTAGTCAACGTGTGTGCGTAGACAACAAAAATTTGGAAATTAAGTTAGTACATTTTTTTATATTTATGTGTGTGTCTAACTACATGTGTGCGTGTGAGTCAATGTGCGTGTCTGCGTCGATGTGTGCGAGTCGGTGTGTGTGTGTAGCTCTATGTGATTGTGTAAGTCCATTTCTTTGTGTGTAGGTGCATGTGTGTGTGTCAGTCCATGTGTGTGTGTATCTAAAGTCGATGTCTGTGTGTGTGAGTCCATATGTGTGTGTGTAAGTCGATGTCTTTGTGTGTGTGGGTCAAAGTCTGTAAGTTTGTGTAGGTCGATGTGTGTGTCGGTCTTTTTCGCCCGGGCAACGCCGGGTATTTCCCGCTCGTCACATAAAATTGACTACTCGAAGAGATAGTAGGTATAGCGATTAAGACTGCAATTTACACCGTGGGGGCTGATAATTAAATGTTTAAAATGTTTTCAGACGATCAGCTTTTAAATAGGCATATTAATAGTTAACTTACAGTGGTTATTGGGTAACAGACCCCTAAATAGTCAAAAAAGTATGATGACTCAATAAAAAAAATGTTGCATTGTGGGAAGATTCGTTCTTGTGAAGACAAGGCACAATCCACTTGGCAATGCATTATGGACTCATTCACCATCTCCGTAAAAAGGAATTTACATGCTGCCCCTGCATATCTGAGGTGGAGAAATGCGAGAGATATATGTGAGAATTTAAATGTGAGGTACACATTGCATGAAGCTAAACTAGAATGGGATAGGGTTTGCCGACCACTCAGGAGTGAGTAAAGTTACGCTTTAAGTGAAGGTCGAAGCGTTGATTCCATATTGTTGGCTGAACGAAGTGAAGCGAATGGATTTTGACAGGTTATGTCACTGACATGGGGAGATGGAGCGATGAGATCGGCTCACGTGTGCAGGCGCTGGGGTGGCTTGTCGCATCACAGGTATCATGAGAGGTGGCAGCAGCTTGGGAAGGCCTTCATCCAGCAGTGAATTGACCATGGTTTAATGATGCTGGAACAACACTTATTGGAACAAAAAAGCGAATTGGAAACAGTGTCACTTGAAACTGAGCCCAGTAAATTCGTTGCCATACCTAAGTCTGGTATGAATCTCAAGGCTGGATTGTAATGCCAAACCCACATTATGTGAGTTGCAAAAGAGATAGTTTGCAAATTCTTTTCAAAACCAGTCACTACTGTGCAAAGCAAACCACCACGCCTCACCAATTTTGTCATTAACGATTCAATATATATTCTGCAGGCCTATGAGCAAATCACCTGGAATGTGCCTGATCTGGTCCCATCTCGGAAGCTAAGGAGACTTGAGCCTGGATAGGGCTATGGATAGGCGACTACCCCAGTATGACGGTGCTCAAGGCTGCTGCTGGGCTATGTTGTCAGCAGAGGAAAATTAAACTACATGTATGTATGTTGAATTTATTTCGTACCGTACATAGCCAACTGTGCTAATCTAAAGTACTATTAACCAACATCTATGATCCCCACCTGAACCAATCTGCACTGATCAGCGTGGTGAAATATGGTCACAGCCACCACGACCCGCATGGCATCCAGCAGAGAATTGACAAATGGTGGTCGCTAATATTCCCTTACCATGCCGTTCATCTAGCTGGCACATTTCCAGCCTGACCAATTAATCGCCCACGCCCTGGGCAGTATTATGCGCACGGTGTAATGTTACACAGTGCGCATGACAGTGCTGTCGTTTTCTATGGATGATCGCGAATCTGACCTATTCACACAAAGTCCTGTATACATTTAAGGTACATTCCCTTCTAAGTCACAGTCAAACATTCTCCACATTCTCTATCCACATCCCCCTGTTTAAGGCAGAAGGCGCTTTGTTTGTCCAGTGCGTAATGGCTAGGCGAGATAGAATGCAACGTTTGACTCTAATGGGGGAAAATGGTATTCACTATTGTTGATCCATGTGATGCAATGCATAGGATCACCAAGGGTTCAAATTGTTCCAGCCCTAATTTTACGTGAGTGTGCTTGCCCATGCAAGTCGTCGATACAAACAGTCATACATTAAATTAATTCTTCCACGAGAAGCCACACTAATAGCGAAAAGTATGCCCAGGCTGGATTATTACACTTGAAATATGTAGCCTTACCATTGAGGAACACAGACGGTAAGAATGACTCGCTTGAGTGATTGTGTGCACTTACACGCTTGTGCTTGTGTATGTGTACACGTAGGTGTGTATTTTGCAGAGCGGTAGTGATTATCTCACTGCACTAAAACCCGCATTCTATTCCCGCTAATGGCCAACATCAGTGATGGATATCTGAACCGGTTCTTGGCCTCCTCTAGGTTGATTCAGCCTTAAATGAGTATATCATACAGTGTGTAAACATCGGCATTGGGGAGGCAAAGGTGGCCGGGCGTAGTACCAGCTACCCACCCTCTTGTGTGCCATGCCAGCCTTAATGGATATTCGCAAATAGAACTTGCACCAAAAGTATTTTAGAAGCAATAAGGGGGATCTTGGTTTTGTTTTGTGTGCACATGTGGGAAGTGGTGGCGTAGTGGTTAGTGCCCTGTGCTACTCAGCACTAACCCAGCTACTTGGCTTTGATTCCTGACCATGGATAACATCAGTGGCGAGTGATTTTAGAAATAGGCCTCCCCTAGGTCGGTGCGAATGAGTAACTGGCACGGTGTATGAATATCCATCACTGGAGAAACAAAAATGTCAATGCGTGCTGCTGACTTATCACCCCCTTCGTGTGCTCTGCTCACTGACAGCACTTGTTTCACCGTCTGAATGGCCAGATGTGGGATCTTTGTGTGTGTGTGTGTGTGGCCTTCATAGGTGCTCGCCAAAGCACTTGCTCAGACTGATAACTCTGAAAGTCTAGCTCGCCGGTGTGATTTTGCGTTATCTCGCGTGTTGTTCGGCATGATGACCTTCCTGAAAAGTTTGAAGACTTCCGAAAGGCTTTCCTGGGTAAACTGAGGACAACTGCTACCGCTGCATATGTATTAGCAGTTGTTTTTGTGCAGCTAGATCTCTGATGTGTTTTCGAGTTGTACCAGTAACTTCAGAACCAAATTCAATTCATAAAGAAGAAGCCCCCGAGTACGTGGAGCGAAACGTCGGATATCGTGCGGAACAGCACCCGCTACAACCCGAAAATTCATAACCTGAGAGTTTTACGGCAACCGCAAAAACTACGCAGTGGTATAACTCTAAGCTTGACCACGTCATTTTAGGTTTCTGTGTCTTCGTTGATCTCGGTGGCGAGATGTTAACTACCTCGCCTAGTATGCAGGAGATCGTGGGTTTGATCCTGACTGACTCCTGTGTAACTGGAGTTTGCATGTTCTCTCCCTGTGGTCGTGTGGATTTTCTCCGGTTCCTCTGGTGTTTCGCTCCACATTTAGAAACTTGCGTTTCGAGTATTTGGCCGCTATAAATTTTCCACATGATAAACCACATCTTTGAGCTATCATTTGTGGCCAGGTCACTTATGAAAAAGAGCTATATAGCTCAGTGGGCCTTATCTGGTAAAATGACCATAGTTTTTAGTTTCACATTTACATTTACAATGTCTCGCATATGGAGCTGGTAATGGCACTGCCGTTACAAATACACATAATTTGTACATTTTCATATTTGCATCATTGTTATTGTGCAAGATTGCTTCAGACATATGTCTGCAGTAGTTTCACAGTAGGGGATGACGCTACTATGTATAATCCCAAGTGAGTAATTTGCAGGTATTTTTTTTTTTATTTGGCGAATGAACCTTATGGTGGGACCCCGGGGTCCCAAATAAACGGAAGTCAAAATCGTAATTAATTAATTTATTTTTGGCGACTCCGTCCCACCGTGCACATAAACGCCGCGACCCACCTGGCACGGAGCATTCTGTTGTCATGTCCTCCAAGCGCAGCGAGGACGATTGCGCAGAAGAGCCGAACAAGCGAATGCTCTCTATGCTCGGGTATGGGCAGGATCTTAAGTCCTATCCAAAGCTGCTCAAACTGCCGACACGACTTAAGTCATTTATTTGTCACAACGGTATGCATAATACAGTTAAACTGCTGTCTTATCTTTATTATTATTTGTGACCTACCAATGTCTGCAGCCAGGATCAATCGATGACCATATTATTCTCTGCAGATATTTAACAGATGAGTTGCATTGCACTGTTAATTCCTCCTGTTTGATAATACTTCTCTTGTCCGTATGCATCTGTGCAGATGGGTTTTTTTTGCGTTTAAGCCATAGTCCCCACATACCGCTCATTAATGCAGATAAGAGGAGCGGCGACCCACTACTCTGTAGAGTAACATTGGTATAACAGCGCATTGAAAACGCGTACTATTTCATGTAATGTTTACGATGATTGACAGGGATGTAAAGTTTATTTTCGATAGTGTATTTAAATAGAGGTACTGCAGGTAAGTAATTTCAGTTTTAAAGGCATAGTTTAACAAGACAACACTTGCCACCATCCTTCAAACCCATTAGTGAAAAAGAGCAAAGTTTTTGTTACATTATAATATGTTTTAGAGAGAGCCCGGGGCTTATGGGACCCCGGGGTCCCGCCATTAGGTTCATATGTGGACCATGAAGCGAGCACACAATGGCCCTTTTCCTTCGAATGCCATCACGGTATCTGTATTATCCACTGCTAAGCAGATGGAGCACAATATTGTACGGTTAATACACCTCATAGCAATAGCCAGGGAGGCCGACCATATTTGAACCACAAACTTCTATAACAAGTGGCGTTTGTGCTACAGCTGGGCTGTGTCACCGCCCCAATAACGTTTCCTCCTCTCGCAGGTGGAAGGTGTGAAGACGACAAAGGGTTAACACCGGCTACACCGCTGTCTGCCGTGTGTCCGCTCAAGAATTTATTCTGCGCCCTTGAAGGCATTTGGTGCCGACTAAAAGTATGTGTGATTGAGACACACGCACATAGACAATGCACAAGCCAGATTGTTCAAACTGATCTTCCTTTTGGTGTTGATAAAGTACTGCCGTTTACAATGTTTTCCAGTTCCTTCTCGGCGATGCTCGTGTATTTGTCTTGATGATAGGATGTGTGTGCGTGTAAGGATATATGCGCGGCATCCTAAAATCTGGCCGAGGTGTATGGTGATATTTTTAAGACTTCATCATCTTCAAAACGTCGTTTAGACAACAGTAATGCCCACGGTTTATCCAGGATAGCCTCTTCCAGTCTTAAAACCTGTTATGGAGGTGTCATGCTACATTGGGATGTTTGCCAATTTCTCTTCCTGAGAGATTGGTACCTGGAATGAAATTGGAGTGTGGAGAAACACCCGTGTAAGAGGGGATAACGCTCAGCTCCGCACAGATGGATGCAGTTCACAGATGTATTCCAGCTATCTGGGAGCATTGACACCGAGTGAGAGCCGTGCACATCGTGATTGATCAGTCGTTGCGAAATCACTCTTTGAATGTTCAGAATTGCTGCTGACTCCCGCATGTCCCACTTGCGTAGGCAAGCTAAGAGACATCACCTCGGTTTTCTAAATTATTCACGGGGTTATTTATTTAGAGCATATGACCAAATCACCCAGGATTATTATTTATTATAATTATAATAATTATTCCACTTGCTTACCCAGAAAAGCCTCATGGAGTCTCACAACTGTTTTTCAAGATGGTCCTGCCAAGTGTTGTTGCTATGTGCTATCCAAATTGAGTAATTTGCAATGGAATTTTACTGTAACAATACTAGTTACTATATATATGTTTTAGCTAGGAATGGGCCCGATCTTGTCGGATCTCGCAAGCTGAGTGTGGTTGACCACAAACAGTTTTGTTTATTTAATTTAGTTTAACCATTCTCATTTGTAAGAGGGGCGTGAATCTAGTGATTCTATAGGTGACCACCTGGCACAGACAGGAGTTACAGGTGGCTGCGGCGTTACGTGGTGGGCAGCAGAGGGGCAGTGCAGCAAACACCATTCTTATACTATATACTTATATGCTCCCACGTCTATACTCACCCACACTGACCATCATACAGTGCAATGCAATATCGTACTGCAATAAAAAATATCCCCGGTATTGCCTTAACAGGCTGTTGGGGCAAGTGCTGTTAGCGAGCACCTGTGAAAGCCGGAACAGCACATGAGAGGGTCGGTGGCCAGCACCACACCCGACCGCCTTTGTCTCCCTGGTGGTGATGTTTACTCATCGTACTAAGTACTCATTTGAGGCTGAGTCGACCTAGGGGAGGCCCAGGACCAGTTCAGATAATTGTCACTGGTGTTAGTTGAGAGCAGAACTTGAACTCGGGTTACCGGGTATGTAGTGCGGATCGTTAACCGCTACACTACTGCTCGCCTTTACCTTCCTGCACAGACAGAGGGACATGCGCGTCGTGAGGGGGGGGGATCGCAGCCAAGAGGAAGGATTTTTTTTATAGAGGAGAAATGAAACAAGGAAGCAGGGTACAGGAGGAAATGGGCTTCATTTGTCATCTGGGCTTTGCGTTGAGACATCGGCACAAGGAGGAGAAGAATGTCTCAACCCAGGACTTGAATTGGGAAACGGTGAATGTAGTGGACAGCTCAGGCCAGTTCATATGAACATATTGGCGTTATACTCTTTGGTGTTTTTGGTAAAGTCACATAGGTAAAAAATTAATAAATGTAAAACAACTAAATTAAATCACGACGTTTCGGAGGTAACACAAGCTTCCGTCTTCAGGTGGAACCGTTACAGCCAAATTCACTGTAGTAAGTGAAGAGAGCTAATAGAGAAACGCGACTATATAGGGTAAGAGGGGGGGGGGGAGCCAAGGTAGGGGCGGGGTGCTAAGCTGAGTTAAGCCGATTGATAACATCTATTCATTATGCAGGAGAGGGGGGGGTATTGGGGTACCGTGAAAAAAGGGGCGGAAGTTGAATTGATTAATAGGAACGCTAAGTTAATCTGATAGGTAACATATAGTTAATAGGAACGCTATTAAGAAATGAAACCGCTAATTTAAATCACTAATACACGACACTACTATACTCTACACTACACTATACACTACACTACTATCGACTGCTATACATTACACTATTAAACACTCCACAATACACTACACTACTATACTCTACAATATATACTATGATACTATAGACTACACTATTAATCAGTACACCATACACTGTGCTCTACACTTCTATACTCTACGCTATTCTATGCGATACTATTATACACTACACTATACACTGCTATAAACTACGCAATACACTATTATAAACTTTGCTACGCAATACTGAAGACTACACAATACACAACTATACCTGAAACATTACTATAGACTCCTATCCACTATACCAGGGGTCGGCAACCAAAATAACAAGAAGAGCCATTTCTTTCCAATTCGGTACAAAATTCAGTATTTCAAGAGCCGCAATGCATCTGAGTACATACTGTACATACGTACATATCGTCAAGAAGCAGCCCGTAAAGAGCCGCATGCGGCTCCGGAGCCGTAGGTTGCCGACCCCTGCACTATACTATAATACACTACACTATGCATTGGTATACACTCCACAATGCACTACACAAAATACTATAGAATACACTACACAATACACTAATATACAATACACTACTATACACTACACTATACACTGGTATACACTACACCAGCGGTCGGGAACCTATGGCTCGCGAGCCATATATGGCTCTTCCAGTGACTGCATATGGCTCCCAGCCAATTTTGAGTTGAAAAAAGAATAACAAAATAAAAAAGCAGTTTGGAACTGATTTAAAAAAATACTTGTGATATTGCTTAATAATACTGTGTCATTTTAAAGTAAACAGAAATTAGTTTTGAAGATAAATTTCACGGGTCACGCCTGCACGAAGCTCAACCTCACCACGTATGAACCAGACTACAAGGCCGTCAGCAAAACCATGCAGCACCAGAAGTCGCATTAAAAGTAAGACATATTTAATTTATTATACGTTCAAAATACTATATGGCTCTCAATGAAATATGTTTAGAAATATTTGGCTTTTATGGCTCTCCCAGTCAAAAAGGTTCCCGACCCCTGCACTACACAATATACCACCATACACTAAACTACTATACACCACAATACACTATACTATACACTACTATACAAAACACACTACACTATCCACTACACTATACGTTTGTAATAAAGGACTCTTTCACTCTGTTTGTCTCCGTTGTCCTTTATTTGGGTTCTTACAACTTTGCCCCACACGGCCCTCGCTCAGAGCCTTCTCCGCCTTCCGCTTGGCAGCTTGGCAGCTGCCGTCGCTCACGTAGCCTTTTCTCTTCGCTTTGCTCCCGATGCAGCTCCGCTGCTGGCTTTCCTCTCCGCCTCTCCGCTTCTATGCAGTCTCTCAGCTGCTCTCTCTGCAGCCCCACCGCTGCTCTCCGTCTCCCCCGTGCCCGGACACCGCTGGCCAACAGTGCCGAGTCCCGTCCTGTGGCGATCGTGCCACTCTCCACCCTCTGCCCTGCGTGGCCTCCTCCCGTCTTTATTCTTACACTCTCCTCCCGTCTCTTCCGGTTCCCGCCCTTAAGAGCTTTCCCTTCTCCCCCACGTGACCTAACCCCTCCCCCCGTTACGGCTTATCCGCGGTGGAACATGCTTCAGTAAAATTAGTGTAGTGAATAAAGAGAGCTGTTTAGAGACACATTAATATATGGGGTAAGCGAAGGGGGAGGAGTCAAGGAGTCAGGGGGGGGGGGGGTTAGCTGATTAACAGATAAGATCAGGGGAAGTGTAACAGTAGTGAAGCAGCCAGGTCGGACCGAGCATTGGGATGCAGATACTATAGAGGCTCCTGGGCTCCTGGGCATAATGCTATGGGGGGAAGGAGGGTGAGTATTGGGGCACTATTGAAACACTGTACATAAAATTTCTGAGTGATGGTAGTGTATAAAGCTGGGAGTAAATGAATGGAAATATGGATATGACTGTAAAACTATAAAGCAGCTAAAGTTTAACTTGGTTAATTACATCCTTCCAATCATTGCTCAATTTGAATCCATCCTCTCGGTTGAAGTTATGTCTATGTATATCTGGATGGCTTCATGGACAAATCTTTGGTAGTATCCAGGAGGCTTGCAGAGTACCTTGGTATCGGAGAACACAATGTCATGAGAACCAGCAGTATTATAACAGTGGTCAGCTACGGCCGAAGAATTTGTCGTGCTGTGTTTTAAATCCGACTTGTGCTCGCAAATGCGGTCCTAAATATGTCGTTTCGTTTCCCCGATATAACAATCACCACAGATGCAACTCAGTTTGTAGACACCAGGGTACTGTAAGTCAGGAATGACATCCTTTACGGATGGGATCAGATCACGGATCTTGTGTACTGTACTGAATCGGACCTGGATCTTGTGTTTGTCTAGAATTTTGGAAATCTTTTTGGTAACACCTGCTATGTTTGGCAACGTAATGGTTTTGATTGGAGTCTCAGGGGGTTGTTTCTGTATGGTGGGAGAAACAGCTTGGTGGATAGCACGATCTGAGTATCCATTCATCCTGAGGGCCAGATGTACATGTTTCAATTCACTGGCCAGGTGGTGTTGGTCAGAGATGTGCAGTGGACCCTATGGTATAGTGTTGAGTGAATTATTTTGTGCCGGATGGTGGTGGGAATCAGGCTTCAGGTAGGAATCTGTGTGGGTGGCCTTCCTGTAGACAGAATGTCCCAAAGAGCCATTGGGCCCCCTTTCAAGCAGAACATCCAGGAATGGTAGCTTGCCATCCTTCTCCACTTCCATGGTGAATTTGATGGATGGGTGTATGGAGTTGATGTGGTCTAGAAATTGGTTCAATGCTGGGAGGCCATGTGGCCAAATGACGAAAGTATCATCCACGTATCTCTTCCACAAGGAAGGACGCAGAGTGGATGTCTGGATGGCGTCTGTTTCAAATTTCTCCATGAAAACATTGGCTATCACTGGTGACAAAGGGGAACCCATAGGGGTGCCCTCATTTTGTTTGTAGAAGGTACCATTTCTGGTGAAGTACGTGTTGGTGAGGCAGTGTCTAACCAGCGCAGGGACATCAGGGTTCAGTCCATGTTGGACTAAGTCTTCAATTATTGTTATGGTGTCAGGCACTGGAACCTTGGTGAATAGAGACCACATCAAAGCTGACGAGGACATCATCAGGAGACAGTACAATGTCCTTGACTAGAGAGACCAAGTGATTTGAGTTAAGTATTGCTGAGGTGGTCTTGCCAGTGAAGGGAAGCAGAGTATCCGACAGAAAATGGGCCAGTTTGTTGGTAGGTAAGTTGATCGTGGACACGATGGGCCTTAGTGAGGTACCTTCTTTATGGATCTTGGAAAGCCCATATAATCTGGGAGGTCTCGCAGCCGAGGGTTTCAGGGAGAGCCGTTTGATTGGTTCGATTAGGGAAGTCGAACTGGTGATGATCTTGTTGGTTTTTGTAGTTAGCTATTGGTCGGATCTCTATTGATTTTGGAGTAGCTGCCATCATTGAGTAGGTCCTGGATTTTGTTGTATGATATTTTATCCATGATAACAGTGGCATTGCCCTTGTCGGTCGAGAGGGATGACTGTCATGTCTATGTCATCCCTCTTTTTCAAATTTGCGAATTCAGAGCGTTCGTTTTTGCTGATGTTGCTAACGGGTTTCTCAGCATTCTTGAGGATAGTGGCTATTTCAGCTCTCGCAATGTCCATTTGGATGTGTCCTAAGCCTTTGAGGGCTACATCGACATGGGAGATTATATACTCTACTGGGATATGTTTAGGGGTAACTGCGAAATTCAGCCCTTTAGCTAGTACCGTTTTTAGATTGTCAGAGATTTGGATGTTACTCTGTGTAGTGTATAGTAGTGTATAGCAGTGTATGTTGTACTGTTTAATAGTGTAGTGTATAGTAGTCTATAGTATCGTAGTGTATAGTGTAGTGTAGAGTATAGTAGTGTAGTGTATTATGGAGTATATAAAAGTGTAATGTATAGCAGTCTATAGTAGTGTAGTGTATTGTGTAGAGTATAGTAGTGTAGTGTATTGTGGAGTATATAAAAGTGTAATGTATAGCAGTCTATAGTAGTGTATTGTATAGTGTAGTGTAGAGTATAGTAGTGTCGTGTATTGGTGATTTAATTTGGCTGTTTCATTTTTTAATAGCGTTCCTATTAACTAGATGTTATCTATCAGCTTAACTTAGCGTTCCTATTAGTCAATTCAACTTCCGCCCCTTTGTTCACGGTACCCCAATACCCCCCCCCTCTCCTGCATAATGAATAGATGTTATCAATCGGCTTAACTCAGCTTACCCCCCCTACCTTGGCTCCTCCCCCCCTCTTACCCTATATAGTCGCGTTTCTCTATTAGCTCTCTTCACTTACTACAGTGATTTTGGCTGTAACGGTTCCACCTGAAGACAGAGGCTTGTGTTGCCTCCGAAACGTCGTGATTTAATTTAGTTATTTATTTATTTTTTACCTATGTGACTTTACCAAAAAACCAAAGAGTATGAATCCTTGCAGTCACGAAAACTTAAAATCTAGAAATATTGGCGTTACACTGGTAGTGTGCGGTGCAAAAACAAATTCGCAATTTTTTTTGCGCGGCGCCACCAGAGCAAGGAGGTCATAACCCTGGTCAGAAAGTCCTGCAGGGGTGGCGGTGATGCGTCAAAATCAGTTCTCGTGATGTCGAAGCAGTCGGAAGATGGATGTTATGAGCGGCTGAACACGAAGCTTCACAGTCTGTTGCCGAATAGCACCCAGCCTGAGGACTTTTTGTACAATTTTCCAAAGGCATATTTGACCCTAGACTTGGTCGAATTTTAGACTGTTTTTTGAGGACCGGTGTGTTACGCTGCACCAGTGTACTGCCAAATACGTCCATACACACCTGTTCGGGCATAACTGCGTGCGTGACATTGTCACCAATTGTTACTTGAGTCGACCACCTTCCACTTGGTCTCCGCACACCACAAAGGCAAACGGAGAATTAGGAGTGAGATTGTAACAGGATGATAAATGTTACCAGTGAGTGCACTTTTTTATGCTCACAGATTGTGACTGTGTGTTCATGCTGCCGATCCATGTGTTAAAGTAGTTAACAAAATGTGATTTATTGTGACTAGATTTACTAACCGGCTTCGCACGGGACTTGGAAACTTGTCTTGGATTAATTTCATATTCCTTTATATTTCACTGAAAAACACTGAAAAAAAAATTGATGCTTGCAAGAAAGAAAAAAGCTGAAAAAAATCAATTTAACTAAATCGGATGTTTTTCACTGAAGGAAAAATCAACCTTAACCCACTTATACGTAAAGTCGATTTAGGCAACTCGGGAAGGGAATGAGGTGGCGAGGTGAAAATTGTCGCGTTCCCTCAGAAATTCCAGACAGCAGAAGCTGTGCAAATTTCATCACGTCAGAGCTCGGCGTTCGAGAATTTTTTCTGCTTCACACAAACAGATGTATTTTCTGCTTTATATTTAAGAGAGAGCTGAAAATAGTCGCGTTGACTTAAAAAATAGAGACAGCGATGCCGCGCATTTGTGCGGGATACACACGGCCTACGCGGAGGGTTGGGGTGGGGGATGCGTGACGTCACCAGGCACACTGCGTAATGCTGCCGCATGCGGGTGACATCACAGATGTGACGTCACCGCTCACTTGCCGTGCAATATATTATATGCATTATTGCGCCCCCCCCCAAAATACAAAAGTGTATTTTTTGACTTTTTGCATTGTGCACAGTCTGGAAGCTACCCACATGCCAAATTTAAAGTTTGTTGCATGTTGGGAAGTATGCTAAACATTTCGAACAGACACACATTAACAAATTTTCCTTTTATATATATAGGTGTAAGTATCTCCCAATGCATTCAATATATAGGTGTGGGAGAGTGCTCTACCTGGTGTGGACAAACCGCGTCCTTCGAAGGGGTATCGAAGCAGTTTTGTACTCTGGAGTAATTTTGCAAGTCTGTGTTTGCGAGGTGGCTCGGTGTCTTTGGACTCGGAGCGCTGAGCTGGCTGTCTTTAAATCTGGTTCTCAAAGGCATCGAGTTGACCGTCTTAGCTTGGATCACCAAAGACTGCATGCAAAAAAAACACACAAAATTTGTATTTGAACCGAATTTTTGAAAATGATAATAATCTAACGATGTTATCTAGGCAGCAGTTATGTGACGTGGTAAAAAAAAACGTTGACGATGTTGTTTGGTCGATTTATCGCCCTGTCGTGGGAGCAGCAACGATGGGCTTCGGGCTGTACATGCAGCAGTCGCACGATGCGCTGGTCGCACAGCAGGAGTGCGAGATGCGGCTGCTGGAGGCCGTGCGCAAGCATGTGGCGACGCGCGCCAAGATCGACCGTGACTACGCGGCCCAGCTGCAGCACCTGTGCGCCCAGACAGAGCGCCCTGACCTCAGCCACGTCAGCCAGGTCGCCAAGGTCAGCCGCGTTGTCACCCCACATTGCCACCAGGTGATGGTGGCCACCAGGGTCAGGAGGTCACCGGGATAAAGCAGGTCACCAGGGAGACGAGGCAGTTTCACTGAGTGCCACATTGTAGGGGAAGTCAACAGTGGTTGTCTTATGGACTCTTCCCCCAATATAGGAATGTGGAATTTCGACCACTGGCCCTACAGGGCTCTAAACAGGGGATGAGCACCACCTCAGTTCTCATTTGACCAGGAACTCGCTCTGACTTTTATATGTATGTTGAATTCTTTCGCACCGTACTTATCCAACCGCGCTATCGGAGGTGAATGTTTTGACATTCACAAGAGGGGTTACTTACCGAAAGAACCAAAGAGTATTCACAAGAGAGGGTACTTTTTAAATCTTTTATATTAAGTTCGCTTGCTTGCTTGCATGCTTGCTTGCTTGCTTACGACCGTGCAAATCTTTCGGTCGTTTTTTAACCCACTTCCCGTGATCCAATCGAGCTGACATTTTCCACACAGACTCGTTGTGCAAGACAATTAATGTTTGTGAAAAAAAAAATCAAAAATTTTACACTGTTTAGGGAAAACAAATTAAATATTTAATTACCAATTGCTTAATACTGGCAGACAATCATCTGACCCATAGGTGGCAGCCATCTCAAGCCAGAGGACGAGAGGACTCTAGCCGCCACGCATATAAAGGATTTATAGTGAAAAACTTTGTTTTTACGGGTTATACTTTTTTTTATTTTACTTTTGTGAAGGAAATCGTTGCACCTAGACTTATATATGCAGGCTGAAGCCAATGTTGTTATTACGATGGTTATGATGATGACTCTTTTTGAAACATTCCTCCCCCTTGCACGACTTCTACAAACACACACACACACAATCTCAGTCGTGGGCGAGCGTGGTGCAGCAGACGGAAGCGCTGGGCAAGGCGATGCGCAGGCAGTCGGAGGAGTTGACGACAGGGCCGCTCAGCAAAATTGCGACGCTCATCCGAGACAAGCAGCAGCTCAAGAAGAGCTATATGGAGTCGTACCAGCAGCTACGCCTAAACCTCAACAAGGTGCGGAGCACGCCCACTCTGCTACAGTCTGAGAATTCCACCAGAGAGCCAATCAGAGACCCCACCAGAGACTCGGTCAGACGCCCAATCAGGGACCCATTGAGAGACCTCTTCAGTGCCAGCCTGTCAGTTTATTGTCTTGAGATCCTATCAGAGACTTGTGAGAGAGCGTTATCGCTCGAGACCCCATTGAGAGACCGGTCTGTTGTTGTCTGCCTCTTGATGAGCGTTTCCCCCACAGGTGACGGTGACTGACATGGAGAAGGTGAAGGGCCAATACAGGCAGGCGTGTAAGGACGCCTCGGCCATCAAGCGCAAGTATGGCGAGGCGGTCACCAAAGGAGGTTGGTGAACGCTATTATTTTCTTTGTGCTCGCATCTAAAATGTGCTGTAATTAATGCCGTAATCTTTTAAGTTTGTGTTTTAGTTTCATGTCATCATCAGTTCATCGAGATTGTTGAGCCCTTAATATTATTGGCCCCTTTTGTAATCCTGTTCAATTCCCGAGCCTCTTCATTCTCAATCACCTTTTATTTTTCACTCGCTTTACTCCCCGGCTTCGCCCAGGACTTGGTCTTGGATTAATAGACGGCCTACACGGAGGGTAGGGATGCGTGACGTCAGCAGGCACACTGCGTGACGCTGCCGCATGCGGGTGACATCACAGATGTGACGTCACCGCTCACTTGCCGTGCAAAATATATCCATTATTGCGCTCCCCCCCCCCCCCTGACACCATCACCTCGCTACGCACTGAGAACCCCGGGTTTATTTGCGTGCGGTGCCTGAAACTCGGATTAGAACCCAGAATGTCAGTGGTGTAGTCTCGGCATCTCTGACCTCTGAGCCGTCCCATGGCCACCTCGCAACTCCCGGTTAAGTACCCCCTCGGCCCACGGGTCCACCCACCGGCCCACCCAACGGCCTCGCCCGCTCACCCGCCCACACCCTGTCCTGCTGTAGGTGCCAAGGAGGCGGAGAAGGTGCGCGATAAGTTGGTGAAGGCAACGCTGAAGCTGCACTCGCTGCACAACGCCTACGTGCTGTGCGTGCGCGGAGCCCAGCTGCATCGCGAGGCCTATTGCAGCAGCACCTTGCCGCAGCTGCTCGACTCCCTGCAGCACCTGCAGGAGGACGCTGTCGCGGTGCTGTACGTGCAGCGTACGCGCGCGCTTGCGGAGATCAATCCCTTCGCGGTCGATAAAAATACATTAACGGCGCTTTGTCCTGTGGCTAACACTGATAATTTGCGCTTGTTATAAGCACCTTTCGCGACATCTTGAGGTGCTGTGCTTGAAAAGGACGAAGACAATGAAGACAACTGGGTTGGTGCACTCAGTCAGATTCTTATCTGACTGAGTGTACCAACCCAGTTGTCTTCATTGCCAATGAGAGGGGGGGGGGGCACCAGCAGGGAGTTCCACAAGTGGGGGACCACCTCGGTAAACTCCCAATCACCCCGAGGACATGAGTGATGAGGTTGAGTTATCCATCGAAGGGCACCATTGGCAGATCTTACCAACCTTTGCCGGGAGGCATGAGATTAACTCCTTGCTCCTGGATGTAAAGTGGAGGCGGCCCTCTCAAGACCCTGATGCATACGAGCAGCAAGATCTTAACTTCCACTCGACTACAGAAGCAGGGAGCCAATGTATGTATGTTTTGTTGTACTTTCGCACCGTACGTAGTCAACCATGCTAATTGGAGACGCAGAGGAGGACGACAAACTAAACACAAAGCAGTTTTAATGAAATTATTTTTCAATTAAGATTTAAAAGTGCATTCTACCAGTGGCTTCTGAATAAATATGGCTTCCTAATATTGGAAGGAATATCGTTCCAGGCGGCTGTAGAAGCACATCTGAAAGTGCGCAGTGACCGTCCTTGTTCGATGACTAACAAAAAGGCGCTGCGAGGATTAACAGCTTCTCTACATCGGCAGATGTAATAATTTTGACGCGGTCAAGCAATGTTTTTACGAAGGAAATACGAGGACAGAAAGACCATATATGGCGCCACGGTGGCAAGATGTTGACTACTTAGCCTGGTATACAGGAGGTCGTGTTTCGATCCTGACCCTGATGCCTGCTGTATTTTTGGAGTTTGCATATTCTCCCCGTGGTTGCGTGGATTTTCCTCCGGGTCCTCCAGTTTTACCTCCACATTTAGAATCAACGTGCGGTTAGAGTATTTGGCTGCTTTAAATTTCCCACGTGACAATAATCCACTTCGTTGAGCTATCATTTGTGATAGCCAGGTCGTTTCTGAAAAAGAGTTACATAGCTCATCTCGCCTTACCTGGTAATATAAATGTAGTGACATTAAATGTTGTCACTCTGGTTAGTGCCAGCCAGTATTTTACATGTTTTGCTGAGCGCCAGGTAATGGAGGCGACACGTGACTGGGAGCTCCTTACTTGATCCAGCAGGGGGCGGGCGAGGGAAATAAAGTTGTCGGGGTTCGTTGTGGGGATCAGCCTGGGATCCCGCGTCTCTTTGTCCTCGCTCTTCGCTCCTCGTTCGTCGGAAGGTGTAGCTTGAGATTGTGGGTCAGACAGCGTGTGTGTGCTGGCTAGCCCGTCCGCTACAGTAACGCACATAGTGAACAGATAGCCACACCTAGCTAAAGTACCTGAAGTGGTTAGAGCTGTGTAAATTAACGTGTTGTCTCCAACTATAGTGTGTGCGACTCAGCGCTCTATACACTACATAATAAACATAGTTTTGTTTTATAGTTTATATTGTCAGCCTTCATAGGTGGTCACTAACAGGTGATCGCTAACAGCACTGGCCCCAACAGTCTGTTAAGGCTCAGCGGGGGGAATTTTTGTCTTTGTTTTGATACTGGCAGCAAGGAGTGTCTACTCGACTACCTGCAAATGACGAGCCTGGTGCGCGACGAGGTGGTGAGGATGCAGCAGAGCATGGCCGAGGCGGTGGCCCTCATAGACCCCGGCACGGAGTACGACAGCTTCATCCAGCAGCACAGGTGAGGCGATGCCACAATCGCCGCTGCCACTGCACGATGGCTGCTTGGGTGGATGCCCTTCTGTCCCCTACTCAGTCTCGTTTGTCACTCTTTCAACTGAATCATCTGCATCTCTTGTCTATAGCTCTTCTCTCTCTCGTTAATTCCTCTTTTATCTCTCTTTATCTCGGCTAGCCATATCTCTCTATAAAGCATATCTCCTAGGCTCATTCCAGGGACACCTCCGTTTAGCGTGGTTAGCTACGTACAGTGCAAAAGAAGTTCCGCACACATACATACTCTCCATAGACTAACACTACCTTTCGACTCAACACTACACCTCCAATTAGTGTGGTTGGCTGTGTATGATGCAAAAGAAGTTCAACGTACATACGTACATGGCCAATATGGGGGGCCCACACGGCACCGCCAGTTGAAGACCCCTGCTGTACGATCTTAAAGTCTTGGGCTGTACCTTGAGATACAGCACTTAGAAATGCTCATATTTCATCATAAAATCTGCTACTGAGAAGAACCATAAGATGCTTATTATTCTTATCATTATGTTTGTTAGCCCATAAAAGCTGCACCGAGTCTCGACTTTTTAAAGAGGGCTTGGTTGATGCTGCTATGTGCATCCCCAACCATGTAATTTTTAGGTAATTTTTCAGCATTGGGATGTTTGGCGATTTCCAGTGATATCGAATGTTTTATTTTAGCTAGCTCTTCCAGGTATTGTAGGTGGCCGGGCGTTCAGTGGTCAGAGGGCCTAGCTGGCACTGGGTTTGAATCTAGGTGTCAGCCACATGTGATGAAAACTCGTTTTAATCAAGTTAACTGAACTATAAGGAAGTTAGCTGAACTATAAACTATTTTTCTTTTTCCAGGTAAGGTCCACTGAGCAACATAGCTCTTTTTCAGAAGCGACCTGGCCACTAATCATAGCTCAACGAAGTGGGTTTTCACGTGGAAATTTAATCCAGCCAAATACTCTAAATGCATCTTTCAAAATGTGGAGGGAGAAATCGGAGGACCCGGAGATAAATCCACGAGTCCACGACGAGAGAGAACATGCAACCCCTAATATACAGATGCCAGGGTTGGGATCGAACCCACGACCTCCTGTATACCAGGCGAGGTAGTTAACATCTCGCCACCATAGCACCCTTGATGGTCTCAGCCCGGTCACACTTTTAAAGGACCATTTAGAATATTTTTCTGGATTCTAATCGTATGCGCTGTTTTACTCATTGTGCTAACAATATACACGTCGTCCGATGCCTGATGATCTTTCCCTTGCTCCCCGTCTCATCCCCTTTCGCACCTTCCGCATCATGTCAACTCAGCTCCCAACCGCTGCACCTGGCTGGTGTGGAGTTTGACGTGAGCATCACGGAGGAGGGACCTGAGGGCCTGGAGCCCAACCAGATCGTGCTTAACGAGCTCACGCTTGAAGACCTGCAGCACAGGTGGGACACGGCTTGTCCGACTGCTCGCTCTTCGCTCTCACCCTGTCTGTGTAGGAAACGGATGCAGTTCCACTCTTTGTCCGCCAAGCGGTGTCGCCATCCATTGTCAATCAGGATTAATGTTGCGGGAGTTGCCGCCCCACAACTGCTCAGCAGGACCTCAGTCGAGAGCAGAATGGGGGCTGTCATCATCATGCAAGGGCGCTGCGGTGGTTAGATGTTAACTACCTCGCCTGGTATACAGGAGGTCATTGGTTTGATCCCGACCCTGACGCCTATATATTTGAAATGTGTGCGTCTTTCTCCCCGTGATCACGTGGAATTTTCTCCAGGTCCTCTGGTTTTTCCCCTCCACATTTAGAAACATGCATTTGGAGTATTTAGCTGCTATCAATTTCCACGTGATAAGCCACATCGTTGAGGTATCATTTGTGGCCAAATCGCAAGAGCTATATAGCTCAGTGGGCCTTACCTGGTAAAATGAAAGTAGTTTAAATTATAGTTAATATCTGCTGTGATTATCAATTTCCTCATTAATGACCTTGCTGTTTGCGATGTTGTAATCCGTTCTTAAAAGTTTGGTAATTTCTTAACTCACTGGTCCACTTCTCCATCAGCATGGCTTTGGTGTTGGAAAGTGGCGCTTAATCTTTTTTATTCCCCGGCACTTGCTTTCCAGCTTGCTCGACTTTTTCGGCGCTAAGAATCAACAAAAATTACTGTGCGTCCTTTATCCAGCAGTGGATTTATCATGGCTGGTGTGTGTGTGTGTGTGGGTTGGGCGGCTAAAACACAGCAAGTCGGCGCAGTAGGGGGCACAGGTGATGCGTCGACCAGTCATCTCGGTTAGTCTGCCGATGGCACCCGAGTCTTGTCCCGTGACCTCCTCTACCAGCGGGCATTCAACACTTCACGTGGGCTTAAAGTGCACATAGCCTGGCACAAGCACTGTGGTGTCACCCCCGCCACTTAGTGGCGAATAGCGGTTGGCCATTATGGACGGACTCGGTGCCATCATGGAAATGTGGAATTTCCAGTCGCTTGTTTAGCTTTCTGTTGGAACCGGGAACGCATGAGGCTCGGGATTAATCACTTCACCTGGGGAGTACTCTGCTCAGCCAATTAACTAAGAGAGAGTAGTTGCGTGTTTTGTGTATGTTTTACTCAATGTGCGGGTATGTGTGTGTGTGTGTGTGTCTGTGTTTAATTGGTAATTGATAGGATGGCTGGCTGTCTGTCTGTCCTGATTCTATTTGTATTTTTGTGTTTGTTAATTGTGGTCATTTCAATGTCTATGTATGTGTATTTAGTTGTTTTAGGTTATTGGCTATATTTCTGTCTGTTAATTGTTTCATTTTACTGTCTGTTAATGATTTAATATCAATATTTGTGTGTCTATTTAATTGTTATATGTTGATTAGCTTCTTTGCCCGTCCTAGGACGGAAGCTGTAATATTTGCAATTTTTTTTAGCAGAGTATAATTGTGTCTTGTGTAAATGTAATGGCAGTGAATCTTGCACAAAAGTACGTCATTAAACACTTCATTGCATTTCACTGTAGCACTGTATATAACTGACCTTCAATTTGTTCAAATTCACTGCTTTGATACTTTATTCTCTTCTGCATTCGGTCGCTGGGGTTGAAATAAATTAGAATTTTAAGCAATATATGCAAAATCACAGAGAAATGTCTATTTTACTATAATGTAGAAGCATAAATTAGACTTACCTTTTGTCTCAAGTGCTGAAGAAATAGAGACACCAAATCCACTTTGTTGCTGCGTATAATTATTTATTAGATTCACTTTCAATAAAGAAACGTCAAACTTAAAGCGAATTTGCGAAAAAAATTATTCCCGCTCGACCTTCTTCTGCGCGAGTGTAAAAATTCACCCGCTCATGAATATTAATGACGGGGAGGGTGCGGCATGTGGAGTGACATCACGCGCGTTACACACAAACAGACATTCTTGGTTCGAAGCTTTCGTGACGGCAGGAATTACTCTACGCTTCAAATCTAGTTTAAACCACCTTTACGGGGAGCGTTTGCCGTGCTTGTTTGTTTCACACTTCTAATTTAGCAATCTTTGGAAGAACGTAAACAACCAGGCTATGCGTTAACTGTGTGCTAACCAACTTTGTGTTGCATTGCATTACACTTCCTCATTTTACTAAATTTGCTTTCTACCTTGCTTGTTTATGGGTCCATTCTCTCCTCCGGCCGCTGTGGGCAGTAATTCCACACAACGCTCTGTGCTTGTTTGTTTAGAAGTCAGTGTCCAGCTCGTCCGTCCCCTATGGGCAGGAATTCCACACAACTCCCCCTCTGCCCCAACCCCCTCACTCTCTCTCTATTTAAGGCCTCGACACAGAGACGTTGTCTTTCTGTGTGCCTATGTGTGTGTCTCTCTCTGTTTGTCTCTGTGTGAGTTTCTCTCTGCTTGTGTGTCTGTCCGTGTGTCTCCGTGTCTATGTTTTGTCTCTCTCTCAAATTTAGCAATCTTTGGAAGAACGTAATCAACCAGGTGGAGTGTTGACTGTTTTATTGGCCGACTCTCTGTGTTGTATTGCATTATATTTCCATGTTTACTATGTTTGTTTTCTCATTAATTTGCACCTGATAATGGTTCCTTGTGTTGCAATCGAAACGTCGTATTCTATTATTATTAAATTTTATTTCTTTCTACGTGACTTTACCGAAAGAACCAAAGAGACTTATTTGGCTCATTATAGTAGTCATGTCTGTGTTTGTGATTGTATTTGTTTAAATAGTGTCTGTGTGTGTCTTGTTCTCTGGTCCACGTGCTCCTCTTTCGTCTCTCAGTGCAATTCCGAGCATGCGCCTTTCCATGCGAATCGTGTAACATATCCATTGATTTTAAGACTCATGCTCATATCAAAGGTAATCTCGGTATTAGCAATTGTCTTTTTTTTGCCTTTACATTCCAAGACAGTGAGAGATGGTGACAGTTTGGGGGGAAGCCTTCAGTGGATAGATGGTGGCTGATGATGCTGCTGCTGCTGCTGCTTGTTTCAGGCTCACACAGCTGTCGGAGGAAGTGGAGCAGCTCGGCAAGACAAAGGCTCAGCGCACGGAGCAAATCGCCGAGCTGGAGCATGAGATCAACAAGCTGCTGGGAGCCACGCAGCTCAACTACCGCACCGAGTGAGAGAGTAGACCCCCCCCCCCCCCCCCCCCCCGTTGTCCGATTGACTGGATAGATCAGGGGTCGGCAAGCCTGCGGCTCCGGGCTTGCGGCCCTTTGGCTGCCGCCTCCTGGGCAGCCATTTAAAAAAAAATATAAGTCTTAAACATAATTTAATGCAAAGATTATAATTGATTAAATATGGCAGGGAATGGGGTTGCTATGGAATGTCTTGGTGACAACAATAATGTACAAATTCAAACTGTATCCGTTAGAGAATAACTTGGGGGATTAAACTATTCATAATCAACGTTTTTGGGTTTAGATCGCGTTATTTATAAATGTGTCGTAACCCTCCACCACCCGACACGGCCAATCAGTAAGAAAGTGTCACGTTGACAAAGGACAAATAGTTCACTGCTTTAGCCCACCGGTGTGTTGAAGCGTGAAACCACAACATTTACAATTTGAGTACGACGTTTCGCTGGTAATTGCATCTAGCATCATCGGGCAATTCGCCAGAATGGTGAGGCTCTGCTCTGTCTCCCGTTCTTATATAGAGCAGCAGCAGCGTGACGTCATCATTAACTCATCAGGTGCAAAGATTTGAGGGGGTAGTTATTGTAATTATATACTAGATTAGTAATCAGGCTATTGTTACGATGCGAGTTGTAGATTAGTAGTTATTTGGCATATGTTTTATTGTGATTATGCTACATTAGTAATCAGTTAGTGTTTGTTTCCCTTATAAGGAATTGTAATGTATCTTATTTAATAATACGCTTCCAGGCCGCACTAAGCCTGTAGCTGTCTGAGCGATTAAAGTTATTTTTGTTTCTCTCAATTTCAATGGATTCTCTAATTAGTCTTTGCCAGTAGTAACTAGTTTTACACAATACTTCAACGTTGTCAAAATCAATTGAGTGTCCCTGTTGGCATGCATGTTCTGCCACTGCCGACAGTTGTGTTTGCGATAGTTTAATATTTCTCTGGTGTTCTTTTAGTCTTACACTAACGTTACGCCCTGTCTGTCCAATATAGCATTTGCCACATACACAATTAATCCGATATACACCTTCTGTTGATAATTTAGGTAATTCGTCTTTAGTGCACGTTACTAGTTGTTGAATTTTGTGTGCTGTACCAAATCTTACTGTAATGTTTTGCTTTTGCAAAACACGGGCTAATTTGTCAGTAACTCCTGAGATAAATGGTATTTTTATTGTTTTGATAATCTGATCGCTTTCAGCAGTGTTGCTTTGCGATCGTGATTTGGCATTTAGTGCTCTGTTAATTTGAGCATTATTGTAGCCATTCTGTCTTAGTGCTTCTTTAACATGTTTAATCTCTCTCACTAGACTTTCACCATCCGACACTGTTTTAGCCCGATGTATGAGCGTCTTGATAAGAGAGGATTTCTGAGCTGGGTGATGATGTGAATCTGCATTCAGATAGGCATCAGTGTGCGTTTGCTTTCTGTAAACGCTGTGTGTTATTTTACCGTTTAGGCTATAAGATACATTACAATTCCTTATAAGGGAAACAAACACTAACTGATTACTAATGTAGCATAATCACAATAAAACACATGCCAAATGACTACTAATCTACAACTCGCATCGGAACAATAGCCTGATTACTAATCTAGTATATAATTACAATAACTACCCCCTCAAATCTTTGCACCTGATGAGTTAATGAGTTAATGATGACGTCACCCTGCTGCTGCTCTATATAAGAACGGGAGACAGAGCAGAGCCTCACCATTCTGGCGAATTGGCCGATGATGCTGGATGCAATTACCAGCGAAACGTCGTACTCAAATTGTAAATGTTGTGGTTTCACGCTTCAACACACCGGTGGGCTAAAGCAGTGAACTATTTGTCCTTTGTCAACGTGACACTTTTTTACTGATTAGCCGTGTCGGGTGGTGGAGGGTTATGACACATTTATAAATAACGCGATCTAAACCCAAAAACGTTGATTATGAATAATATTGGTCGCGAAAGCCTACGTGTTAAACTGGGATTAAACTAAATAGATGCAGTTTATTCCATCACCTATTTTGTTTATTTAAGTCGGAATGTGTGTTATTGTTATCTGCTGTGTATGCCTGCTATATCTGTGTTTGTGTATACAAGTAGCTCTGCGTGTGTTGTGGCTCTCAAACTATTTTGGCCAAAGACAAAAACCAAAAAAATGTCTCTTCTTCTTTGAAATGTTGCCGACCCCTGGAATAGATTGAGTCGTTTGTATCATGAGACCTTCCTTGCCAGTATCAAAATATAAGAATAGCTTTTACCCTTTCTGGCAATAAAACAGGTGCTAAGATGTTAAAACGGATACCTTTTGCAATGAATCATGTATTTGTGGTTAATGCAGACATGATTTCTTGCAAAAAGTTTCTGTTTGGTGTTTTAACATCTTAACACCTGTTTTATTGCCAGAAAGGGTAAAAGCTATTCTGGCATTTTGATACTGGAAAGGGAGGTCTCATGATACAAACACAAGATCCAGGTCAGTTTCAGTACAGTACACAAAATCCGTGATCCAATCCCATCTGTGAAGGATGTCATTCCTGACATGCAATATCCTGGAGTCTACAAACTAAGTTACGCATGTGGTGGGTATTACATTGGGGAAACGAAACTACATATCTTGGACCGTGTTCGCGAGCACAAGTCAGATCTGAAACACAGCAGAGCCAATACCTCCGCCGTGGCTGACCATTGCTATAATGCTGAGGGCTCTCATGAAATTGTTTTTTCCGAGACCAAGGTACTGCAAACCTTTGGGCAACTATCAAAGGTTTGTTCATGAAGCCATCTAGATATATAAACATAGACATAACTGGGAAGATGGATACAAATTGAGCAATCATTGGAAGGATGTTATTAACCAGGTAAAACCTTAACTGCTGTATGGTTTGCTTTCATATCCACATCTCCAGTTTCTTCAGCCTCCCACTCCCAGCCCCGCTCACTTCCCCTCCCCACCCCGGCATTTCAGCACTCCACTCCCCCTACCCAGCACCCCCACCCTCTCTATCTCTCCTCCCTGGCTCCCCCCCCTTCTCTTACCTATATAGCCTCTTTTTACAGCAGCCCTTTTGCCCACTTCAGCAATTGTTTTCTTGCTGTGGTTGTCCCACCTGATGACGGACGCTTGTGTTGCGCCCGAAACGTCGTGATTTAATTTATTATATTTTTTATACCTACGTGACTTTACCGAAAGAACCATAGAGTATGAGTACGGTAAAACCTATTATTATATGAGTCGTTTCTGCCTACCACCAGATGTGTAAGTAGGCAGAACACGTCACATGGCTTAAGGGGAAAAGGGCCGTTGGTTAAAAATAACGGAGCAGCAGCAGCCAGGGAGTGTAATGTGTCTGAGAGATGGTGCCCAGATATGTTAACTACCTCACCTGGCATACAGGAGGTCGTGGGTTCGATCCTGGCACATGACGCCTGCTGTATATTTGGAGTTTGCATGTTCCCCCCATGGTGGTTGTGTGGATTTTTCTCCAGGTCCTCCGGTTTTTTCCCTCCACATTTAGAAGCATGCATTTAGAGTATTTGGCTGCTATTAATTTCGACGTGATAATAAGCCACTTCATTCTTCATTGAGTTATCATTTGTGATAGCCAGGGCACTTCTGAAAAAGAGCTATGTAGCTCACTGGGCCTTACCTGGTAAAATAAAATAAATATAGTTTTAAATATAGTAAAAAGGCATAATTTATTTGACGCTGGAATCTAACCAACTGGCTCATGGACGTGCGTGGACGTGCGCCGCCTTCTTTGCCACCCCACCGCAGTGTGCGGCTGCTGTGCAAGAAAGCAGCGCTGCAGGAATGCCGCCAGGGCGTGCTGCAGTTGGAGGGCGAGGAGGCGCGCGTGCTGGGCCAGCGCGACGCCATCCAGGACAAGCTGGAGTGGCTGGGCGATGCCGAGCCGCCCCCCGTCATAGGCCTGTCGTGCCAGGAAGACGCGGGCAGGGCAGGAACGCTCCCGTCGCCGTCGCACTCGCAGAACTCGCTGCACGTGGTCAGTGCCGGGTTGGGTGGGTTTGTCGTGGGTTGTGACCGAGGGTTGCTCCCCCGGTGTGTGTTTGTTGGGTTGGACCGCCGTGCGTTCGGCTCGGTGTCCCAACGTTTTTGGCGTTCACGGCACTGCTCGTTATACGTACAGGTTAACCCTCGGTTTTCCAAAAATTCGTATTTACGCAATTGATAAATTTCACTCCGGCACACGGCACAAGATCATCAAACAAGAACCCATCCGCGACAGCATCACAGTATCCCTACAGTGCAACAGTAACACCTCCACATCACCTTGGCAGTCATTCTAACATGTAGCAGATCTTTTGGTGAGTTCCCTGAAAAGGTTATTTTTTGGAATTTATTATTCAATTGTTTTAATATTTACGTTCTTTATTATTATTTTTATACTGTGAAAAGTGATATAGGTGTGTATACTTTTATGTTAAATTAATAGGAAAAGCCATTCCGATTGACAACATTTCATACTCTTTAGTTATTTCGGTAAAGTCACGTAGGAATAAAATAAATCACGACGTTTCGGGCGCAACACAAGCGTCCGTCATCAGGTGGGAAAGCATGGTCTGCTGCTGAGGCAGACTGTTTTAAAAGGTTTGCAATGGGTGTAGCCACTTCCGTGCCCTTGTCGAGGAGGCCGCTCTCTTATCTTACAGTTACATGCTAATTTCTCACATTAACATCACTGGCCCCGGCCACTTCTTTATGACCCTTGGGCTACACCCATTGCAAACCTTTTACAACAGTCTGCCTCAGCAGCAGACCATGCTTTCCCACCTGATGACGGACGCTTGTGTTGCACCCGAAACGTCGTGATTTATTTTATTTTCTACCTACATGACTTTAACGAAAGAACAAAAGAGTATGGATTCCTGCAGTCACGAAAGCTTCTTATCAAGATTCCGACATTTCGTTTTAAGAATGGGTTTTTTTGAAGACTGCATCCCTTTCGTCAATCGAGGGATACCTGTATTGTACATTATAAATTTCATACGGGCCACCACGGAGCGCCTTGACATTTCGTTCCACATGACGGACACCGCTTTGGTAACCGAGCTGTTGCTCCACGTGCTGGCACATTTGGCTATTTGCGGCATCGTTGTGGCGCAGTGCTAACACAAAGGCGCCTGTAATCGTTGATGATTGCTCTGTTCTTCCAAAAACATTACAAGAGCCTTAACTTCCGATGTGAAGCGGTATGGTCCGTACTTGTTAACACTCGCAGCATTAACTGGGGTCGGCCGTTAGAGCTTGAACCTGTGAACATTGGTCATGCCACCCACCCCCCCGTACGGCCGCTGTTGACTGAACATGGCGATCCGGTGGCCATGCAGTGAGCACGCGTGGGCATGTGCCGTGCGGCCGAGCATGAACGTCACGGTGGCTCGCGCGTTGGGTCTCCCAAGCATCGTGCCTGTAGCGTCACTGCAGTTGTGCTGTCACCCATGCTGCTGCTGTTGTTGTTGTTGGTGTCGGTTTAGGATGGGATGAAGGCGATGACCCTGGATCTCAAGCAGTCCATCACGGGGATATTTAAGTTCTCAAAGCCAACGGTACAGGTGTACACTATGCACACAAGACATGAAAAATCGCTCTATAGCCTTTACCAGACTGTTGAGTTAGTAAGCAGCGATAAAGGTCGGCATGGTACACAAGTGAGTGGGTGGCCAACACCATGCCTGTCTACTTTTGTCTCCCCACAGTACTCTGTTTATACACCGCAGCACTAGCTGCTCATTTAAGGCTAAGTCAACCTAGCAGAGGCCAAGGACCGGTTCATGTATGCATCACCGATGTTGGCCGTGAGTGGGTATTAAACCCTGTTTGCCAGAGTTAAATTCACGCTCGCGGTCACCATTCCACACATTCACTTACACAAGCGTGCGCAATCATACACGCACACAAGACAACAATCCCACGTATAGTCATAAAAGACTTTTGGAGCAAGTGCTGTTTGCGAGCACCTATGACTGGCGGAACGGTACGCATGGGGGTGGGTGGCCAGCACCATGCCCGACAGCCTTCGTCTCCCTAGTGGTAATGTTTAGAAACTGCACCAGGTACTTATTTGAGGCTGAGTGGAGCTAGGGTATGCCCAGGACCAGTTCATATATTCGTCACCGCTGTTAGCCATGAGCAGGAATCAAACTCAGGTCGCCGGGTTCGAAGCACCGCACGCTCACCACGATGCTACCGCTCACAAAATACATGCACATACGCCCGCTCACACACCCACACACATACGTACATTTATACGTACACACATGTATACACATACACACAATCATACAGACGCGTGCACTGACATGTTGATGTTATTAATGTAAAATATATTTATGTACGTAAATGTTAATGAAGTAAGCGTTGTTATTAATTATGTTCTTTAGGTATTTCAGTAAAGCCATGTAGATAGAAAAAATAACAAAATCTAAATCACGACGTTTCGACCGCAACGCAAGCAATCGTCTTCAGGTGAAAAAGAGGGAAATCTGCTGAGACAGGCTGTTTATAAAGGTTTAGAGATGGGCGGAGCAGCTAATGTTAATGTAGAAGCGAGTAGGAGAGAGAAACTTGCTTGTAAATGTAAATGTAAGCTCGGCGGGTGGCCAAGCTCGGCTCGGGCCCGGACGACGCAGTGGCAAGCCGCCATTTTTTAACACACCTAAAGGTTGGCTGTGTTAGTGAATGTAACTCGGAGAGTCCAAAATAACTGCTAACATAGGTAGGTAGGATAGGAACATCACAGCCAGTTATGACCTAAACTGGTGATTAACGTCCTTGATTGCTCAGTTTGTACCCATCTTCTCGGTTGAAATTGTGTCTGTGTTTATATATCTGGATGGCTTCATGAACGAATCTTTGCTGATAGCCAATGGGTTTGCAGAGTACCTTTGTCTTGGCAAATATGAATTCTTGCAGTCACGAAAGCTTTTAAGTCAAGATTTAATTAATTATGGTTTGTGTTATTAATTATGTTATCTATTATCGGTTACGATCGACTTACGCATGACCCACACCACGTGTAAGATATCTGGTTATTTTCAGAATCTTTAATTCGACTGGATAAATCTGATGAGCTATGAAGCTCTTTTTTCCACAGATGGCCAGTAGGGGTGGGTCGGCAAGTTACAGCAACAACAAACAATACAAAACAAACAGAGTGCAAAATAGAGAAAAGGCAAGAAAGTCACGAAAATTCTATAAATAAATAATACAAATTATATAAATACATCAAGTCAAGCCGAATTTTTTTACACTAAATGCAAGCTCGTGCAGGGCAGCAAAACGTTACATCGCCCAATGCTGTTATTTACCCGGAGCTACAGAGAGACCTGGTCATAAACTGAACGCGTGGAATTCTTTTGACATGGTAACACACTCTTCATCACCCTGGCCAAAGGGATTTAAATCTCTCGCAACGAAACAAACTGACGCAGCGAATTCTCGAGTGGTGTCTGTGGCTGTGCTTTGTTCTGCAATGCCTCAATTGATTGCCGCTTCTTTCTCTATCTCCTCCTCCTCCTCCTCCTCCCTGCAGCCGTCGCCCACAAACAAGGTAACCGATGACGGTTTCGTTCGTAATTCGCTCGTCACGGCACTCCATTAAAAGCCTCTATCGCATCTCTGAACGCGACTCTTGTTGTGATGAGTACGTCACGCAACTTTAATTGGAGCCAAGTAAGGCAGTGGTTGGCACGCGGCTCTGTGAACGTGTCGCCCCATAGTTCTATGATTCCCGGCCACAGCTAACATCAGTGGCGAGTGATATCTGAACGGATCCTGGGTCCCCCCCCCCTCCATCACCCGCTCCCCTTCAGTCCATATTGACGTAATGAATGTGTTGTCAGATAACCCTTACGACCGATACGGCGTGGGGAAGGCCTTCATCCAGCAGTGGAGTGAACAAGATGGGCAGAGCAGAGTCGGGGGATGAAATTGGGCATGAGAGGAGTAGCAATTGAAAGGAGGGAAGGATATTAAATATGGTTCCATGGTCACGAAATGTTAACTACCTTGCCTGGTATGCAAGAGGCCGTGGGTTCGATCCTGACCCTGACGCCTGTGTATTTGAGGTTTGCAAGTCTATCTTCGTATGGTAGCGTGGACATTTCTCCAGGTGCTCGGGTTCTTCCATCCATATTTAGAATCAACATCGCGCATTTAGATTGTTTGGCTGCAATACATTTCCAGGTGATGATAAGCCACTTCGTTGAGCTATCATTTGTGATGGCCACGTTACTTCTGGAACAAGAGCTATATAGCAGCTCAGTTGGCCTTACCTGGTAAAATAAGAATAGTTTTGAGTTTTAGGATGGGAAGATGAGGAGGGGAATAATTGGAGGAGGAAGGGGAGGAGGTAGTGGGTGAAGAGATGGAGAAGGACGATTGCCAAGTGCTACTCCTCACTCGGTGGTGCATGGGATTGCCCTCATCTAGCAGTAGATTGACAGTCGGAGGAGGGACAAGAAGGGGGAGGAGTGAGCGGATGGAGGATGACCTGCAATGCAGAGGCCGACGGCTTCAACTCTCGGCACAGCAGTTGATCTGTTAAGATTTTCCTACGTGATTTTACTGAAAGAACCAAAGAGTATAGCAGTTGAAACGTTTGTGCACGTTTCTTAAATCCCCCGGCCTCTGTCCCACCCGGCAGTGGTTAATGGGTCTTATGCCTTATGATTGGGCAGGTCGCGTACGGTGGAGTAAAGCGTGGGTACCCCCGCCTTTAACCGGTGTGGAAGGGAAGGCCGAAAAGCCAGCGGTGGCACGAGGCAATGAGCGAGCGAGTTGATTGCAGGGGGCTGTGCCTGTAACCCCGCAGGCGTTGCCGACGCGCCCGCTGGATGCGCAGGAGTGGTTCCACGGTGCCATCCCGCGGCAGGAGGCCCAGCGGCTGGTGAGCTCCGAGGGGGACTTCCTGGTGCGCGAGAGCCACGGCAAGCCGGGCGAGTACGTGCTCTCCGCCATGGCGGGGGGCCAGTGCCGCCACTTCATCATACAGAATACCGACGTGAGTTTGGGGGCGGGGGTGCGTGGGCTTTGGAGCCGAGAGCAATGTTGACCGCTGCTGGCCTAAACATCCCAATGCCTCAGGATTGCACGTAAGCACCATCCCACCCCTCCCCCCCCCCCCGGCTTACTGTGAAAACTTGGCAGGACCCTCCTGAAAGAGAGAGTCTTGAGACTCGGTGATACGTTCCTGCTTAAACCAGTGTAATACATTTTTTTTTTCATTTTACGAGGTAATGTCCACTGAACTATATAGCTTTGATATATAATAATAACAGCACCAATGAGTATTGGTGACTGATGAGTCCTAATAAGGATGACAGCGGTCCACATTTGGTTACCTCTGCATCACTGCTGCTGTCAGTTGGTCGCTTTTACTCAAATTTAGTTTCATGGTGACCTCGGACGAGGACCACAATGCACTTCTTCATGAACTGCTGATGGTTTTTGCACAATGCACAAAGACTTTGAGCATTATACACCTTTGTGCATCTTGTTGGAGACGCGTCGTTGTCCAAACTGCATTCCTATTCTGTTATGATGGGCTTTTCTCGCCATTTACAAATTGGAAGAGGATATTACTGTGACCTCTGTTCCACACATGATAGCAATTTCCCATCTGCCTTGCCACCTGAGAGTCAAACGGATATTTAAAATTCTGAAATATCAATTTAAATGCAAAAACAAATTGTATGTGATGTTTTTTTCTTCTTCTCGTCATTGGTGACTGGGCTGAGATCATCAACCTACTACACTTTAAATCACATTTGGTAGGAACCCGGACTCAAACCCAGGGTCCCAGTGGTGCCGGCTCGGCATCTTTGACCTCTGAGCCACCGGACCACCTCTAAGAACAACGTCCTAGACGCACGTCCGCTCCTGAGCGATCAGTTTCACATCCAAATTGCTCTCGGAAGTCACGTAGCCTACTCGTCCCCCCAAATTACTTTGCCCACATCTGAGCAAGCAGTCGCACAATCAGAGCACCCCTCTGTCCCCAGCCCTCTTGCTGGTTAACTCCAAGCCCTATCCACGTCAGGATCGTAACTACCAATTGCGAGTTCGCAGACGTGTCACGTGACGATGAGTCGCACGTCGCTGTAAATTCGCCGAGCGGGTTGTCTTCTACTGTGGACAATGGGGTTTGTGTCAACGTGCGACCAATTCGGTTTGCCCAACGGCTTCCCCTTGCGCGCGTGCTTGTGGCGTTGTCTCGGCGCAGAACCTGTTCAAGTTTGAGGGCGACGGCTACGCATCCATCGTGCAGCTCATCGAGCACCACGTTTCCTCAAAGCAGGTGGTCACTAAGAAGTCACGTGTCGTGCTCGTGCGGCCCATCGGCAAGGTACGACAAAGCGTCATCGTCGTCATTGTCATTATACAAACATTACACTGGTTGTCTTCTTTGTTGTCACCATCATTATCCTGATCACCAGCATCATCGTTATCTCCATTGTCATCCATGAGAGGTTTTTGGGTTAGATCGCGTAAATATATAAATGTGTCTTTAAACCCGCCACCACCCGACACAGCCAACTAGTAATGGTTGTCACGTAAACAGAAAGTGGCCAATTCGTCACTAGAGCAGCACGCTGGTGTGTTGAAGAGCCAAGCCACAACATTTACAATCTGAGTACGACGTTTCGCCAGTAATTACAACCAGCTTCATCAGGCGACAGCCAGATTTGTGGAGAAGTCCACCTGTTTCGTTCCTTATGTAGAGGCGTAGATGTGTTGACCACCCTTCTGTGCTCTTGCACAATGTGGGGGGAGGATTACAGAGGCAACGTACATGATGCATGTGCCTTATGCGAGCCCTTTGAACTTGTCCTTCCTGTCTATTGTGTTTATTAAAATAGCCCTACCAACGGTAATCCCGATTGAAGTACGCTGCCCTTTGTAGGCATGCATTTAAATAATATATTATTTTATGATTCGCTTCCACGCAGCACTTAGACGGTAGCTAACCGAACGGTTAAAGTTATTTTGATTTCTTTCAATTTCGATAGATTCTCTAATTAGTCTTTGCCAGTATTAGCTAGTTTTGCTCAAAACTTCAACATTATCAAAATCAATTGAGTGTTATATTTTTCTGATGTTCTTTTAGTCTTATGCTGATCATTCGTCCTGTTTGCCAAACATAACATTTACCACACGTGCAGTTAATCCTATACACACCTTCTGTTTATAGCTTCGGTAATACATCTTTTGTACCAGATATTAAATTCTGGATCTTATGTACCGTGCCAAATCTGACTCGGATGTTTTGTTTTTCCAAACATCTGGCTAGTTTATCAGTTACTCTCCCAATGTACAGTATTTTGATCGTTTTAACTACTTGGGCAGTTTCAATGCTCTTGTTATTTGATTTGGTTTTGGTATTCAATTCCCTGTTGATTTGTACATCATTGTAACCGTTCATTTACAGCGCTTCTTTAACATGTTGAATTTCACTTCTCAGACTGTCACCATCTGACACTGTCTTAGCTCGATGAATGAGTGTCTTGATAATTGCAGATTTCTGTGCGGGGTGATGGTATGACTCTGCATTCAGATAGGCATCAGTATGTGTTTTCTTTCGGTAAACACCGTGTGTTATTTTACCATTTCGACCCCGTCCGAGCAGAATATCCAGAAATGGTAGAGTTCTGTCAGCTTCCACTTCTACGGTGAACTGGATGGATGGGTTTTGCGAGTGGAGATGATTTAGAAATGCGTTCAGTGTATCTTTGCCGTGTGGCCAGACCACCAATGTGTCTTCCACATATCTAAACCAAGCAGATGGTTTTAGTGTGCTTGAAGCTATTGCTTTTGTTTCAAAATCTTCCATGTACAAATTCGCTATCACAGGAGACAAAGGAGAGCCCATTGCTGCTCCTTCCTTTTGTTTATAGAAGTCACCTTGCCACAAGAAGTAGCTGTTCTTTAGACAGTGTTCAGCTAGTCTTGGGATATATTTGGCTAAACCTTTGTTCGTTACCAGAGTGTCGAGTAATTTAATTGACTCGTTGACCGGAACCCTCGTGAACAGAGAGGTCACATCAAAACTTACGAGAATATCATTAGGATTAAGCTTAATATCTTTATTTACATTTACGAGATGTTCAGAGATTTTGATGAACGAAGACGTCCTACCGATATAGGACTGTATTTGTTTATTTACGTATTATGCTAATTTGTACGTGGCAGAGCCTATTGTACTATGGGTCTTAATTGGACATCAGGCTGTGTGCTTTGGGTGGGCAGATTTGTGCCAGAAAGGCATTGCGTGTTAACCAAAAATTAATTGACTTGACTGTCCACCGCCACTTGGTAAGCCTGCCGACAGCCTCGGCTCACTATTCAAGAGCGTCAGAAACCCGGATTCAAACCTAGGTGGTTACTGCTGTATGCGGCCTGTAATGCAGCACTGTAGAGACGGAGCATTTGTGGGTCATTCTCACGTTAGTAGGCATCGAGGTCGCCATGTCCTGGATTGCCAGGGTATCGTGCCAGTACAGCAAGCCGGGTTAATTTCCATCTGTATGGGGATTGGAATTGGGGAGAAATCCTCTTAATATAGGACTACAGAGCTTGGGCAATTGTTTGTGCTGGTTATGGCTACTTTGCTACTCGCCTGTGGTTTCTCCGTGCCTCTGACAAATTCTACAGCGTGTTGAGATGCAATGTGTGTGTGTGAAGGACGCCATATAAATATGATATATATTTATGTATGTGTTACTTTGACTTCTTTGCAGGACAAATGGATTTTAAATCATGACGACATTGTCCTCCAGGAGAAGCTTGGACGGGTGAGTGGATCGGTGTTGTGTGTGTGTCTGCGTTTGTGTCTGTACGTCTGTGTTCGTGTTGGAGGAGGGGTGATGGGGATGGTGTTGAAGAGAGCTGGCGCAGTGATGAGTGTACCGCATGATTAACCCACCGACCTAAGTTTGAATCATGCCTATGGCTATGTGATAGCAGTCTTACACGTGAACATCGCACCGCAGTCACACACATGAACATCGCACTGCATAACATATAAAAAAATGGTAACATAATAGAATGATTCAGAAGCTAGGGGCGTGCATGGGCTAAGGAATGAGTGACAGCGATAGAGGTGTTATGAAAGGGTAGGGGAGAGACGGGAAGGAGTGGATGAGCGAGGGGAGGGAAGGAGGAAGAGAATGGGCAATAGGGAATAGGTGAGCTCTGTGTTCGTAATCGTGGCTATCGAGTTGCCGTGTGGCCTCAATTGCAGAACAAGCGACACCGTGGATAGCCACGGTTTCACGTCGCAGGTGTTCCACTGTCTCGTGCTCTTGCATCGAGCGCCTTCAACAGGAAGGGCGCCAACGGCTGACATCCCCCAGCGCTGTCGTTCCTCCGTCTGTGTCAGGGAAACTTCGGGGAGGTTTACAAGGGCCTGCTCAAGCCGGAGAACGTGAGCGTGGCCGTGAAGACATGCCGGGACAACCTGCCCACGGACATGAAACACAAGTTTCTCATGGAAGCCCGGTGGGTGGTGGGAGCGCACCCACATGAGAGGCATTGCTCACTCGTAACGCCTCGTGTGTGTGTTTCTGCCACTCGTAGCATTGTGCCAATGCGTTACGCCGCATGTTGGTTTCATTCAATCCAGAGGTGCGCAGTAAACCGTAGACAATCGAGAATGCAGCCGGAACCGGTGCCAATAATTGCCAAAGCTCTGTGGCCCTATATTGTTGTGTTTGGCCAACTCTTATACCATGTAAGTGTTTTGTACACGTGGTAGTAGGCCGGAGTAAACTAAACTATTCTTTTTTTTTACCAGGTAAGCCTCACTGAGCTATATAGCTCTTTTTCAGAAATGACCTGCCCACAAATGATAGCCCAACTAAGTGACTTATCATTATAATGTGGAAATTTTGTTGCAGCCAAATACTCTTGTGATGTTGAGTCTAAATGTGGAGGGGAAAACTGGAGGACCCGGAGAAAAAGCCACACGACCACGGGCAGAACATGCAAATCCTAAATAAACAGGCGTCGGGCTCAGGATTGAACCCATGACCTCCTGCATGCCAGGCGGGACAGATAACATTTCGCCACCACGGCAGAGTACCAGGAGACAACCCACGCATGCGAGGGAGGGGGTAACACTTAACCCCGTACATACATTTTATTATTATTAATTAACTTGCTGTGCTGCCATGAGACCCTGGCAAGCCGGGAGGTTGGCGACCTCGACGCCCACTGGCAGCGAGGGGGTTGCACGTATGTTGGTGCTGGACTGAAGGGCGTCCAGCGTAGCCACAGGGCACCCCACGGGGGCGGCCCCGACGCGCACCCAGTGTAAAATATTGAGTCTGCGGCCGGACTGAGATGCGCACGGCCTTTGCTGACCCATCGTCAATCTCGTTGGTTGCCCATGAGCCGGTCTCGCTGTGCGTACAGCCCAAGTTAATTTGGATCTCGTGGTCCAAGTGTGCGGGAGTGTTTATCTCACGTCGATAAAACTGCACATCGATTTGTTCAGTTTCTTTTCACTTTATTACAACGACATTCGAGCCCGACAAACCACACTGTAAAGTTCCAACAACAGGATACAAAATGTATGTATGTTGAATTTCTTTCGCACCATATGTAGCCAACTGTGCTAAATCGGAGGTTCAGTGCTGAGTCTATGGGTTGGGTTTATTACATGGCCAGTATGCACTCTATGCTGAACTGCTTTCGCACCTTACGTAGCCAACCAGAGGTGCGGGGGAAGGACAACAAACTAAAAACAAGAAGCAGTTCTCAATAAAATGAGTTTATGTATGTGTCAGCGGGCATCCATTCCGGCTCGGCGGAAGCACGTGACAGGAGAAGGAAGGGGAATAGGGACCCCCACTGCCCCAGCCAAGGGGGGGTCTCGCGCAAGTGGGAAAGATGAAGATTTAAATGGGGAGGGGAAACAGGGAGGGGGAGGAGAAGAATAACAGCCAGCATGCTAAGGGTAAGTCAGGGTTAGCGGGGGGGGGAGGGAAAAACAGAGGAGGGGGAAGCACAGAAAAAGCTGAAAAGAAAAAAAGTTACCTACATGCATGCGGCTAAAGGGGCTTATAAGCCAAGTTGTTCATCGCTCCTAATTCCGCTCCCACTTGATAAAACTACAAATTTCAATTGGTGTGACGTGAGCGGGCCACCATGGTTTTGGGCACGGTCTCCGCTGAGAAGCAGGTTTAACCACGAACAGCGGGAACTCAGAGATTGCACCCAGGATCTCGGCAGCGTCGACCATTATAAACTATAAAATGAACTTAACAATTTTTCTTTTAGCCGGTAAGGCCCACTGAGCTATTTAGCTCTTTTTCAGAAGGGACCTGGCTACAAATGATAGCTCAACTAAGTGGCTTATCCTCATTTGCAAAATTTATAGCGGTGAAATACTCAACGCATGTTGATTCTAAATGTGGGGGGGAAAACCGGAGAGGACCAGGAGAAAAATCCACGTGACTACATGGAGAACTCCAATTATACAGCGGCAGGCGTCAGGGTCAGGATCGAACCCACGACCTCCTGCATACCAGGCGAGGTAGTTAACATCTCGCCACCGGGGGCACCTTCAGTGGGCGCCACATCCCCTGGGCAGGCGGCACGTTGGTTGATGTCGCTTGTCGTTTTGCGTCGCAGGATTCTCAAGCAGTATGACCACCCCAACATCGTCCGCCTCATCGGAGTGTGCACGCAGAAACACCCTGTCTACATCGTCATGGAGCTTGTGCAAGGTTCCCCCCCCTCATTCGCTCCTCACTCAGTTGCGCAACTCATTCACTCGAGTTAATTCACTCACTATTATTCTTATTATTATGCTCACTCTATCCCATTCATTCACTCTTGTTCATACGCTCAATCACTTATTCACTTTTGTTAATTCCACCGCCAGTGCACCATACTGGCCTAGCAGCACTTATTCCAGCTCTCACAAACAAACATTGACTTGCTGTGAAAGACCCAACGCAGAAGATCTCTGGGTTGATCTTCCACGAAGCTCATGGTCCACCCTAAACCACGCCCACTGCGCAAACCATGGCAGCAAATGCGGACACCTGATGCGCGAATAAAAAAATTATAACTCCCCAGTATGCGACCTGTGGTCATCCAGAAAAGATCGTACAACGTATAACGACGCAGTGCCTGATCCACAAATACGAAGGAGGCATTACAGCGATGATACACTCCGCTGGCTCCTGACACGGTTGTCTGAATTGACCAGATGAATGTGAAATTGTAATTTGTTGTTGTGTATCTACATCAGCGGCCATACTAAAGAAAAAGAAGACTTACCCCAGCAGTCTGAAAAGGCTATATGAGGGGTGTGCGTGGGGGAGCGGTGGCGCAGTCGTTAGCGCATCGCACAACGAACCTGGCGACCGGAGTTCAATTCCAGCTCGCATCGATGACTAATATCTGAGCCAGTCTTGCCCCTCTGCTCGGTCGACTCAACCTTAAATGAGTCCACGGTGCGGTGTGTAAACTAAGGCGGCTGAGTGTACTGCAGGCTACACCATTCCCGAATGTGGTGTGCTGGCCTTCATCGGCGTTTGCGAACGGCACTTGCCCCAAACAGTCCGGAAAAGGCTATACATAGAGGATATTTGTCCTTTGTCTCTGTGCGTGAGCAGGTGGTGACTTCCTGTCATTCCTGCGGAAGGACACTTCACGTGTCCTCACACAGCAGCAGCTCGTGAAGATGATGGAGCAGGCGGCAGCTGGCATGACATACCTGGAGGGGAAGAACTGCATACATCGGTACGGCCCCCCTCCCCCCCCTTACAATTCCTCCTACCCAATGTCCCACCCCACAATTCTCACAACCAAATTCAGAAACTAGATTCGACGATTCGCTTGACACTGCACAAAACCATCTTCCCGAATGCGTGAAATCGTAGCGGCCCTGTAAACAGCATTCCTGAGTTCTGCCCATTTTTGTGTGCCTCATCACACACTAAAGGCGCTCCCCACTTTCATGACACAATGGGAAACCTAGGAACCCCATCGTAAATCGGATTGTTGTAAACCGGGACCCTGTTTTCCCATAGACAGTAGAAACAGTGGAAACATCACTTGCCAATGTGTTTTCCTTTCATCGGCCATATTCAATAGGGTTAGAGAGGTGAAAAAATACACAAAAACACTGGAGAATATAAAACACAAGTCAGCTTTATTGATCACATTACCCATGCATGCAGGAGGTACATGGCAGTGAGATTTTTTGTTCCCGTGTTGCTCTCAGCTTGTGGAAATTAGCAACAACTATGTAAACAGCAGCAACAATATTAAAACATTTAAATAAAATTATTAAAAACTAAGTAAAATCGCTATGCAGATGATAAAAGTGACATGTGCTTAGCAGAAATAGGGTCCGCTGCAGGTGAGCTAAAAATGATCTTGTTATGCAAAATGTTCTTGTTTGGTTAATGTCTCGTGTAGTCGGTGGGGGGAGAGGGGGTGTGAATGGGGATAGTGGGGAGCAAAATCAGGGTTGGTGGGGCTTGGGCGGATATTGCGCGAGGCTCTGCTCAGCTGAGCATCCAGATGGCCTGGGGATAGAAGCTGTCCCTGAGGCGGTTGGTGGTAGCCGCAATCCTGGACTTCCTCTTGGATTGTTTTCTGATGAAAAGGCCATGGCCCAGGTGGCTGGAATATCGGCGATGATCTTTTGGGCCTTTGCGACGCACCTCTTGGTGTATAGGTCTCTCAGGGTGGGCAGCACGCCACCTGTGATCCGATGGGCGGACCACATCACCTTCTGAAGCCTCTGCCGGTCCCATTCGGTGCAGTTACCGTACCAGGTGGTGATGCAGCCAGTCAAGATGCTCTCAATGGTGCACCTGTAAAAGTTCCTGAGAACAGGTGCGGATATGCCAAATGTCCTCAGCCTTCTGAGGTTATCAAGGGGCTGCTGGGACTTCTTCACCAGTGTATCCACATGCCGTGACCATTTCAGGTCCTCTGAGATGTGAACTCCGAGGAACCTGAAGCTGTTGACCCGCTCCACTTGAGTCCCCTTTGATGGTTAGTGGCACGTCCTTACCCCTCTTCCTGAAGTCCAGATTCAGCTCCTTGGTCTTGCCAACATTGAGCTCAAGGTTGTTCCCTTGACACCACGTCGAGAGTGCCGTCACCTCATCCACGTAAGCCGTGGTGTCGTTGTTGGTGATCGGGCTCAGCACTGTCGTGTCGTCGGCGAACTTGATGATGGTGTTGGAGCTGTACCTGGCTGTACAGTCGATAGTGTAGATGGAGTACAGGAGGGGGCTAAGCACACATCCTTGGGGGGCACCTATGTTGACGGTGAGGTAATATGAGATGTTATTGCCAATCTTTACCGCCTGAGGTCTTCCCGTTGGAAAGTCCAGCACCCAACTGCAGAGGGTGGCGTTCACAGCCAAGGCCTCCAGTTTTTGAGATTAGGATGGAGAGCACTGGTATTGTATGCTGAGCTGTCATCGATAAACAGCTTTCTCACATAGTTACCCTCCTTCACCTCCACGTGGGACAGTGCCTTATGCAATGTAATTGCAATAGCATCGTCCGTGGGCCTGTTAGTGCGATACGCACACTGCAGGGGGTCCAGTGTATCTGGTAGGATGGAGCTGATGTGTTTCTTGATTGCCCTCTCGAAGCACTTCATGATGGTGGGGGTGAGCTCTACGGGTCTGTGGATATTAAGTCACGTCATTTTGGCCTTTTTGGGGACCGGAATGATGGTAGACGTCTTGAGGCAATTTGGAACGACAGCCTGGGCGAGGGAAAGGTTGAAGATGTCTGTTAACACAGGGGCCAGCTGGAGTGCACATGCCCTGAGGACACGTCCCGGTATCCCGTCTGGGCCGGCTGCCTTGTGTGTGTCAACCTGCCGTAGGATCTGTGTCACCTCACCTCTGTTGAGCCTAAGGACGCCTGCAGGAGAGCTGTGGTTGGTGCGATGGGGGGTAGACGGAGGTGGGGGACGTGGGGGTAGACGGAGGTGGGGGACGTAGGGGGAGGCGGGGGGGACTGTGGAGCTGGCGGTGGCAATGGTTGCTGTGCTTGCCTCGAACCGTCCGTAGAAGGTGTTGAGCTGGTCGGGGAGGGAGGTGTTGTTGATTACCTCGCAGCTTCTTATCCCTTTATATTCTATGGTTCTTTCGGTAAAGTCACGTAGATTGAAAAAGAATAACATGATGGACTGTAATCCACGCCACAGGCTCCAAGAGTTGTAGTCGCAGTGTGGGGCCTCCAACTTGTCCCTGTATTATCTCTTGCCCGCCTTGATGGCTTTTCGGACTGCGTATTTGGCCCTCCTGATTGCAGTGGGGTCTCTGGATTTTTTGTGCTTCGTGTTGGTCCTTCAGTGCTGCTTTGACTGCCGCGTTTTTAACCCTGGGGTTGTCAATTGGGTAAGAATGGACAGCTCCTCTCCAAGTCACAGACTGCCCAAATGCATTCGGCGTCATGACGGAAGATACGTCCTCAATCAAGTTTCTGCGTCGTAAATCAAGTTTCTGCATCGTAAATCAAGTTTATGCATTGTAAATCGATCCATGGTAGCATTGTGAATGTCGTAATTGTGGATTGTTGTTAATCGGACCGTCGTAAACCATAGACCTGACAAAATAGGTCTGTCGGTCAGTTGTCTCGAGACTCTATCAGATTCCGGTCTAGAACTGTGGTTGCCAACATTCTACTTGTTGTGTTCTCCTTACCAGACCTATCAACCGTCCGCATACCCCTGCCAGCGTGCACAGCACCCCAAATACACTTAGATCTCGCTTAACGCACAAGACTCCTTCTTGGAGACGTGAGCACTAATCGAATCGGTGCTCAAAGGGATCATTATACCATTGTATATATGGGGTTGCGTTCCCGACAGTGTTATTTCTGACATGCGAACAGTATATGAGAGCTTCATTGGGGGTATTGGTAATAGCGCGAATAATATATCATACAGATGGTAAACATTACTTTACATAATGTTTATTTATTATAAGATCAGTAAGTATTGTGTACTTTACTCACGAGTGCATCCAACTGATGCTCACTGCCGCAACCGGCCTCATCACTTGCATTTTAACATCCAAAGTGAGACTCTTATGTATTTATTTTTAGTGATTGCCTTACCTTTCCTATACTTTGCACTCCTATCGTTTTTTGTATTGTTTGTTGTAACTTTCTGACCTGCCCCTACTGGACATCTGTGACAAAGCGCTTCATAGCTCATTGGATTTACCAGTATAAATAAAGATTCTGATGATTCTCTTTTTACACTTTGGTCACATTTCCAGCACTAACGCTTGCAGGCCTTTTCCCATACATTACGCCTCTAAAGTGCTCATTAAAAAACACCCCAAAAAAATGTCGGGAGAGACCAAGGCGGAGGGAGTTAAAATGTCGGTGGGTGGCGGGGGTGTGTTGTTTATAAACTCGCAAGTGCTGCCGCGTGTCTCTGAGCGCTCAGTGCCTGCCCAAGCGTTTCCGTGCTCTCACTTGGTTCCCCAGGACAAAGAGCGCGATAGCGAATTGTCGTTCTATGGGGTCATTTCTAAAAGCGAGGCCTTCCTATAACTAACTAATTGGCAAGTATAACTTTTATTACATTGACACGTAAGTAAACACCAAAGACATTTAGTTCACGCTTAATCAAACTAAGCACAATTTTATATTTACACTTTTTAATGACACTTCAGAAATTACGACTCTACAGTTGAATATGAGTCCGCCTGCCATCGCCGTCAAGCGGAGGGGGAAGGCTGTGGGTCACTGTGTGCGGAAGGACGGAAGGATTTTTCTGACGTACGTTTGTGCCTCTGCGTAATAAACGTAAAATCAACGTTGCCTCACGAAAGAGACTCCAGCGCCCAGCACAACCACCCAGAACAGACTGGTGTACGAGCGCGCGGACCCCCAGACCCCAGGTCGGGACACCGTTCCCCGCTTTTTGTACTTAATTTGTTGTCCTTCCACAGATCGATTAGCGCGGTTGTCTACGTACGGTGTGAAATAAGTTCAACATACATAATGCTCATAGACTCAACACTGCCCATAGACTCAGCACTGCCCATAGACTCAACACTACTCATAGACTCAACACTGCTCATAGACTCAACACTGCCCATAGACTCAGCACTGCCCATAGACTCAACACTGCCCATAGACTCAACACTGCCCATAGACTCCGCATTGCCCATAGACTCCGCACTGCCCCATAGACTCAACACTGCCCATAGACTCAACACTGCCCCATAGACTCAGCACTGCCCATAGACTCAACACTGCCCCATAGACTCAACACTGCCCACAGACTCAGCACTGCCCATAGACTCAGCACTGCCCCATAGACTCAGCACTACCCATAGACTCAACACTGCCCATAGACTCAGCATTGCCCATAGACTCAACACTGTCCATAGACTCAACACTACCCATAGACTCAACACTGCCCATAGGCTCAACACTACTCATAGACTCCGCATTGCCCATAGACTCAACACTGCCCATAGACTCAGCACCGCACCTCCAATTATTACGGTTGGCTACGTATGGTGTGAAAGAAGTTCATACATGACCACGCAGTGGTGTGGAGGGTGGGAGGAGATGCCCGTGTCTCTATGTGCGTGCCCCCATGTGCGTGCAGTGACCTGGCAGCGCGGAACTGCCTGGTGGGGGATGCGATGTCACTGAAGATCAGCGACTTCGGCATGTCGCGCGAGGAGGAGGACGGGGTCTACTCGGCCTCCGGGAGCCTACGGCAGGTCCCCATCAAGTGGACGGCACCCGAGGCCCTCAACTTCGGTACCCTTTGGGGGAGGGGGGGCGGGGGACGTGGGGGGGTGGGGGAACAACGGAAACATTTTGCGGGTTCATCGTCAAGTGCTCGGCACAACTGCCACCACGGGGGGTGACGGAGTGACAACGCTTGTGTCTCACAGCAAGGGCTCCTGGGTTTTAATTCCTGACTCGGTCACCTTTCTGCATGGAGTTGGTATGTTCTGCCCCTGTTACTGCGTCGGTTTCTCCTGATTCTCCGGTACCCTCCCGTTACGAAAACAAAAGTGATATTGGCCAAACACATCCCAATGCTGAAGCATCACCTGTAGATCCCTCAGTTGGGGTTAACGTAAGCACTGCTACTGCGACTGCAAAAACTTGGCAAGGAGCTTCCTGATAAAAGGATCTTGAGACTTGGTGAGTCCATCCTGGGTAAATGAGCAGGATTGCTGGTAAACAGCCTCTCACTCAGAACAGCAACCAAGGAAGGCTGTCCTAAAGAATAATTAATATATAAAATATATTAAAAAAGATAATGAATATTATAATGAATATTATCTTTTTGAATATTTGTTGGAACGGTTTCAAATATTTTTTTTTACATTGGGAGAAGTAGTTCAGGTGGTTTCCCCTTCTGTTACTCAATGCGTGCAGTTTATCGTTGGCTTATTGTCGTTGACCTTTGGTGACCCTGCATAGATCTCCATGTCACTGAAGCACGGTGCTCCTCCACCACCACAAGGGAGAGGAAGAACATCTGGATTGGGCAGCCAGCAGAGAGAGGGAATGAACTGACAGAGCAGAGAGAGAGAATGAGCTGACGGAGGGGATTGGGCAGGTAGCAGAGAGAGGGAAACACAAAGATGGGCCAAGACCACAAACAGGTGCTTGGGAAGGCAGCCAGTACCGGCACCAACAATTGCTCAATTTCTGTGGTTTTATATTGAGAAGATGTTTGGCCAACTTCATGAATGAGTGTTTATACATGTGGGAAGAAACCACAGCACCTGGTGAAAGTCATCGAGCGCTTTTAGATGCACGTTTCCGCGGCCGTCTGAAACGCTCTTCCGATATTAGGAAGCCACTGGAGCCATGCATCTTTAAATCTTGATTGAAAACGCATTTCTTTAGAAGCGCTTTTTGTATTTATTTTCTTGCCCTTCCCCCACACCTCCGGTTAGCACAGTTGGCTACGTACAATTGTGAAATAAGTTTAACATACATATGTAATGACTGATGGCGAAGTAGTAAAATGAGCCACTTTTATTTGAATACTTCCGTAATAAAGGACCACCCTAGGCTTCGTGCTTGTCTTCCAACTTGTATCTTCCTCCGAAAGTCTCCACTCCTCTTGCTCTCCCGTTTTATATTCCTTAGCCCCCTGTCTCGAACCTTCTCGTCTTGTTTTTTACCTTTAGCCAATCCCTGTCCTTGCCCTCTAAACGGATCCTTTCTCTTGCCCCGTTTTCTCGCTCAACCCTTATTCCTCCAATCCCTTGAAGAGTCTGCGTTCCGACCAATCACCATGGAGGCCTCTTTCTTCCAATCGGAGACCTTTGTTTATTTTATATTTTCAAATAGCCATTAGGCTATTTAATACGTAAGCCACGATATGCAGCCATTAGGCTGCATATTGTGGCTGCATATTGGCTTGGGGTAATTGTTCGGTCATTACACATACATACAAACGAGAGGGGAGTAACTCAATCCCCTTGAAATCAGGGACGTGTGGTCCGGGGAGGCAGGGGAGGCAGAGCCTCACCTGTCATACTCCAATGAAAATAGATGTTAGAAAAAGTAAAAAAAAAGAATAATCAAATAAAATAAATATTAAGATTGTTCCACTGATCTGTGTTATAAATGTCACTTCTAAACGATTCCAATAATTTTTATAGTCAAAATCGCCAAATTGGCGGAGCTCCGCTACAAATACAGGAAGCGACGAGAGGTGAGGCAGCGACGAGCTCAGCCTCCCCTCTGATTGCGCAACCCCTCAGTAACTAGATGGAGCGCGGGCAATAAGCGCGTGCCTGTTACTATCACAGTATGTCACCAATGTAATGTTTGTAGACCCCTTCATTTCATCTCCTCGCCTTCCATACTCCAGGTAACTTATTTCACGTATGTATATAAAGATATTTATGCTTGCTGGTTTCATCATGAAACTGCAATGAAAAAGCTCCAGGGGAGGCAGCTATCACATCTGCCTCACTGAGGGGGACGTGTCTAACACGCCCTCCTTAGTGAGGACACGCCCCCTCGGTGAGGACACGCCCCCCTCAGTGTGTGAATCTGGCTCTGACACGAGCCAGTTCCTCCCCAGCCATTGACCTCACCGCACGTCACTGCTTGAAATGGAAGTTAACCCACTTGCTGTACTGCAGCACCCCTGGCAAGCTAAGAGATGGCGACCTCAACGCATGTGGGTAAGGGGAAGGAGTTTAGCGAATGTGTGTGATCCACCAACCCTCGCCGCCTTCCCGCATCGCTGGGTTACGGGTCCACGAGCAGCACTGCCACCCGGCGGGTGTTTCACCGTTGTGTCCCCACCCACCACTGTGCAGGCACATTCTCCACGTGTAGCGACGTGTGGAGTTTCGGCGTGCTGCTGTGGGAGACGTTCAGCCTGGGCAGCATGCCCTACCCCGGCATGACTAACCAAGAGGCTCGCGAGCAGGTGGAACGCGGTGAGTGCCGGGCACACCACACACACCACACACACACACTCCGTGTAGCCTTTAACGGACTGCTGGCACAAGTGCAGTGAGCGAGAAACGTTTAAGGGCATCGCACGAGGTGGCGTGGCCGCCTTCGTCTCCCCTGTGCCGATATTTACATGCCCCTCACCAGGTGCTCGTATAAGGCCGAGTAAAACTAGGGGTAGGCCCAGGATCAGTTTGTATATTTGTTGCTGATTTTGACCACGAGTGGCGATCGAACTCGCGGGTTGCCAAGTTGGTTGGGCAGTGTGCTAACCTCTGCAACACCGCTCGCGTGCCGAGCCCACGCGTATGCACATACATTTGCAACGATGCCTCCACGTGACGTACACAAGATGTTTCGGAAAGTGTTGTTAGCGAGCACCCCTTCAAGGCTAGAAGGATGCACATATTCGAACTCAATTGGGCAAACAGAGGTGTACTTAATAGACAAATGAAAAAAATACCCCGTTTTTCCTTACAAGCCTGGACGAGAATCAACGGTGGAAGGGCATGGGGGCCTGCCACACCCCCCACCCCACCTCTCAATGTGCAGTGCAGACCTTAATTGGTACTCGATAACAATACTTGCCCCAGCAATGTTGAAGGTTACATGAATGAGGGGTGGGCATTTTTGTCTCTTGTGTCCAGGCTACCGGCTGGAGGCCCCAGAGAAATGCCCGCGGGAGGTTCACCAACTCATGCTGCGCTGCTGGCAGTACGAGCCCAAGCAGCGGCCTCGCTTTTCCGACCTTCAGCGCGAGCTCTCCTCCCTCAGCAAAAAACACTTTGCGTGAGCTGGCCCCTCGCCCGCCCTCTCAATCGCCCGCCCTCTCAATCGCCCGCCCTCTCAATCGCCCGCCCGCCTGCCGTCCGCCCGGCTCGCCTGATTTGTTCCCTCTTTCAGTCGCCTCTTCACTCATTCGCTCTACTTTTCACCTGTTTGTTAATTGCATTCATTCATTCATTGGCTCGCATCCGTGTTCATTTGTTTCTGCTCAAACTTGATTTGGAGCTTTCGTGACTGCAGGAATTACTCTTTGGTTCTTTCGGTAAAGTCACGTGGAAAGAAAAAATAAATTAATTAATAGCATACGATGTTTCGATTGCAGCACAATCAATCATCATCAGGTACAAATGAAAGAGAAAACAAACCTAGTGAACTTAGAAATATAATGCAATACAACACAGAGCTACCTGGTTGATTACGTTCTTCCAAAGATTGCTAAATTTGAGAGGGAGACAAGACACAGACACGGAGACACAAAGACAGACACACAAGCAGAGAGAGACAACACAGAGACACACAGAGATAGAGAGAGAGAGACAACACAGAGACACACAGAGAGAGAGAGAGACAACACAGAAACACACATAGAGAGAGAGAGACAACACAGAGACACACAGAGATAGAGAGAGAGAGACAACACAGAGACACACAGAGATAGAGCGAGAGAGACAACACAGAGACACATAGAGATAGAGAGAGAGACAACACAGAGACACACAGAGATAGAGAGAGACAACACAGAAACACACAGAGATAGAGAGAGAGAGACAACACAGAGACACACAGAGATCGAGAGAGAGAGACGACACAGAAACACACAGAGAGAGAGAGACAACACAGAAACACACAGAGATAGAGAGAGAGAGACAACACAGAGACACAGAGAGAGAGAGAGAGAGACAACACAGAGACACACAGAGATCGAGAGAGAGAGACGACACAGAAACACACAGAGGTAGAGAGAGAGAGACAACACAGAAACACACAGAGAGAGAGAGAGACAACACAGAAACACACAGAGATAGAGAGAGAGAGACAACACAGAGACACAGAGAGAGAGAGAGACAACACAGAGACACACAGAGAGAGAGAGAGAGACAACACAGAGACACACAGAGATAGAGAGACAACACAGAGACACACAGAGGAGAGAGACAACCACAGAGACACACAGAGATAGAGCGAGAGAGACAACACAGAGACACATAGAGATAGAGAGAGAGACAACACAGAGACACACAGAGATAGAGAGAGACAACACAGAAACACACAGAGATAGAGAGAGAGAGACAACACAGAGACACACAGAGATCGAGAGAGAGAGACGACACAGAAACACACAGAGAGAGAGAGACAACACAGAAACACACAGAGATAGAGAGAGAGACAACACAGAGACACAGAGAGAGAGAGAGAGAGACAACACAGAGACACACAGAGATCGAGAGAGAGAGCCGACACAGAAAACACACAGAGGTAGAGAGAGAGAGACAACACAGAAACACACAGAGAGAGAGAGAGAGAGACCACACAGAAACACACAGAGATAGAGAGAGAGAGACAACACAGAGACACAGAGAGAGAGAGAGACAACACAGAGACACACAGAGAGAGAGAGAGAGACAACACAGAGACACACACAGAGAGAGAGAGACAACACAGAGACACACACAGAGAGAGAGAGAGAGACAACACAGAGACACACAGAGATAGAGAGAGAGAGACAACACAGAAACACACAGAGGTAGAGAGAGAGAGAAAACAAACTTAAAACCTCCCCATAGAGGTGGTTCAAACTTGATGTGGAGCTTTCGTGACTGGAGGAATTACCCTTTGGTTCTTTCAGCAAAGTCTCTGTATGTCTCTGTTATCTCTCTAGTATTTCCTGCAGTTTGGTTCCTCTCTCTCTCTCTCTCTGTGTCTCTGTGTTGTCTCTCCCTGCTTGTGTGTCAGTCTTTGTGTCTGTGTCTTGTCTCTCTCTCAAAATGTAACGCTTAACTTCTAATTTAGCAATCTTTGGAAGAACGTAATCAACCAGGCTATGCGTTAATTGTGTGTTGACCGACTCTCTGTGTTGCATTGCATTACATTTCCAAATTTTACTAAGTTTATTTGATTAAGTGTGTTTTCTCTCTCTCTCTGTGTGTCCTCCTGTTGTTGCTCTTATTCCCTGCAGTCACGAAAGCTACAAATCTCTCATTGGCATGCTGATTTCTCTACCCCCCTCTCTCTCTACCCCCCTCTCTCTCTACCCCCCTCTCTCTCTACCCCCCTCTATTTATTTAAGGCCTCGACACAGAGGCGTTGTTTCTCTGTGTGCCTATGTGTGGTGTGTGTCTCTCTCTGTGTGACTCTGTCTTATCTCTCTCTGCTTATGTGTCTGTCTGTGTCTCCGTGTCTGTGTTTTGTCTCTCTCAAATTTAGCAATCTCTGGAAGAACGTAATCAACCAGGTAGGGTGTTGACTGTTAAGTTAGCTGACTCTCTGTGTTGTATTGCATTGTATTTCCGAGTTTACTCGGCTTGTTTTCTCTTTCATTTGTACCTGATGATGATTGCTTGTGTTGCAATCGAAACGTTGTATGCTATTGTTTCTGCTCGTTTAGGACAAATTTGGCACAGTTGCCATTTCAGCTGTCCTTACACGCTTGTTTACTCGTTTTTGTTCATTTATTTTTCTAAAAGTAATTTTTTTAAATTGATTATTACTCTGGTAACTGGGCGAGTAAAGGGCTGGCGGGGCGAGCGAGTGATTGGGTGGGCACTTTGAAGGGAAGATGGCCCAGTAAACTGGAAGGGTTGGTGAGAGAGCGGGATCATGAGCAAACAAACAAGGCGCGAGGCCTCTTGCGGTGACGGCTGCGGCTGAGGTGTGCGTATGGTCACGTGTGGTTACCCACATTAAAGCTTTTTGAAAGTCCTATTTGGCCCCAGAATGGGCAAGCAAATGGCAAGATTGGTGCGCGACTGGGCAGGTGAGCGAGGTGGTGAGCGAGTTTTTTTTTTTCCATGAGGCACACGAGGGCTTCTCCATGCCCCAATCAGCGCCTCACGCGTTCTCTTGTAAACGATCTTTTTGTTCGATGCTGTATCGCTACGTCGTCACCACGCTGATGCTGTCTTGTTTCCTTCCTCCTTCTGAAAAGGGGGGGGGGGGGCTCTTCACCTCATTTATTATTATTGTTTATTATTGTTCATCAAACTTCTCATTCTTCTTGGAGATGGCTGGTCTGGGACCGTCCACAGTCGTTCATCTCCTCACATTTATAATTCATATTAACAAGTAGAATTCATATCAGCTGCTCAAGTTATTTCACTGCTGTAACTTGCGTAGACTTTTTATCGCCTTACGAGCAATCATTTAACGCTGCCTCGCAACGGGAACAATGCGGTGAGTGCCCGTTTCAAGCAATGTAGGTTGACTGGCCTGAGTGGTATAGCTTTTGCTGCTTTTTGCAGAAGTTCGCAGTTCGAGAACCAGCTATTGCCCTGGTTAATACTGCTGGGGAGTATTCACGATTGATACACGCTGCCTGCCTGACAGCGGACGCTAAAGTTTCTGTGATGCTATTTGATAAAGAGTAGGTCATGTGTGCTGGTGTCGTAGTACACATTTGCCAAAATTAACAAATTGACGCCACAAATGACTCAATTTGATGTAAATGCATATCAACATGACCCCCAACTGGGGCACTATGGCAGACTATACCTGTCTGTGAATGACAGCGACTGTGTGATAGTCGTGCACTGTAAGACTACCGCGAATACCAAATGTTGGTCATGCTTTGATTTGATGATGAAGAGATTTTCATTCTCTTCGTACGGCTGATGTTGGTGCCGCAGGAGCGACATGTTAACTTCCTTGCCTGGTTTCCAGGAGTTCGTGGATTCGATCCCGACCCTGACGCCGGTATATGTTGAGTTTTCATGTTCTCCCCGTGGTCACGTGGATTTTTCTCCAGATCCTCCGGTTTTCCCTCCACATTTATAAACGTGCGTTAAGAGTATTTGGCTGCTATACATTTCTACATGATAAGCCACTTCTTTGAGCGATAATTTGTGGCCAGGTCACTTCTGAACAAGACCTATATAGCTCAGTGGGCTTTACCTGGTTAAAATACAAATATTTTTTGTTGATCTAGAGCTGTAACTTTACATTGAGGTGGTTGAGCCAAATCATTGCATCAGGAGAGGCGGAGTGGTTTATCGCTGTGATGACATCTTCATATTTGTGAATCAGGCATTGAGTCGTATGTTCCATTGTTTGTTCTGGGTGAATGCAGTCGCACATCGGAGAGTGTTTACTTTTCCATTTGTGCATCAAGCATCCGTATCGGCTGCTGCCATGGTTTGTGAGGATGTGGTTTAGCGTTATGCCCATAAGATGTATGGAAGATCGAAGCCAGATATATTTTGCGTCGGGTATTTCACGAGGAGTTTGCGATTCCAAGAATCGTCAGGGGTTGAAGTTGCATCGTTGAAAGATAATCGCTTGGGTCCAAAAGCGCTCGCCATGACGTCAAGCGCGGTGATGCCGGTGAGGGACATTTTTGAGACCCCCGTAGTGGATGGGGAGACTCACTTTTTCCCACGATTCGCTCGGCTTCCCGGACCGTTGCAGCGTCGTGGCGAATGGGTGCTGTGAGGAGCAGTGTGCGTCAACACGGGCAGCCAGGGTGTCGGGGTCGACTTGATGGTGTTCCAGTGAGGCACTGCATCGCAGTGCTCAGTTGGGACAACAAGTCTTCTTTTGTATAGCTCCTATAGATGCAGAGCAACAACTACCATTTCACAAGCTGCTTGTGACTACTCCTGGTTCACACCGGTGCTGCACATAACTCGGCTCCGGGAGTACTCGAGGACCATCGCCGATGTCTGGACCACCGATGGCTAATGCTCCACAACTTGTAATTGCCATTATCTGGCTTCCTTCTTCAGGTGGTCGGGGAAGGCTTGGCATGCTGTCCAGCATCACTGCTGCACAGACAGGTCGGAGTGGGGTCGGGTTGCATGGTGTTGCCGTGAAGGGACACATAAAGGGACACTTTGACGTTGCTGTTATTGAGATGGAATTGTGGGGGGTTTGAGCCACTCATTTCCAGAGATATCCTTCCATGGTGTTTCGGGTCCCCTGTTCAAGGTGGACTCTATGTCATTGAAGGGTGGCTGCTTACCTTGCCAGTGGCGGCTCCATTGAGACCCGGGTGAGCTGTCGCCCAAACGAAGAGGTCACTGGGTGGCTCGTCAGAGGTCAGAGTGTGGAGGCGGCATCACTGAGATCCAGATTTCTAATGCGGGTTTCGTCCGCCTGTGATTAAACGGGCTTCTCAAGTGTAGCGAGTTGATGGTTTCAGTCTGTGTCGTGTTAATCTATGGGCAGTATGTACTGTATGTATGTTGAACTTCTTTCGCCGCGTATGTAGCCAACTGCTAATCGGAGGTGCGGGGGAATGGTCAACAAACTAGGCACAAAAAAGCAGTTTTAAAGACATTAGTTTTCAATCTTCATTTAAAAGTGCATAGCTCAAGTCTATCATGAACCATGTCTACAGGCAACTGCGTTCCTGTAGAGATGACTGCAATATGTCTATATGAGAGATAGGGGCAAAGCTCACTGCTGGTCTCGACTGGGGAACAACTGAATACCACAAATGAAAGACATGATCGACAGACTGTGCC